TTTTGCAGAGCTCCTGAACAATCTGCATCATTACTCTCTAACAAAATTACAGAACTAGTATTAGTGGACGTGGTTTCCATCAAATATTGTCAATATAATCATCTGCGTTTTCAACCAATCATTGAGTCCCAGGATTAAACACAAATATGTTCTCCAAACAAATTACTGTTAAGAGTCTGTAAAGCGAGTAAAGAAATCCAATCCAAAAACTTTTCATCTATGTTTTTTTCTTTTTAATTTTCTTAATATATTTAGCTTTTGAATTCGTCGTGCAGAAAAACTTGACAAGTGATGTTCACATGCACTCCATGCAATTTGAGTGAGCCTCAACAGCTTGTTAAAAAAATGGTGGACTACACATTTGTTTCTACAGGTTCAAAACTGAAAGAGAAACAATGTGGAAAAAGTGCAGCATTAATGAATATTTTGCAAAAACACACCAATGCAGAAGAGCACCTAGACAGATCAGTAGCTGAGTTTACCTGTCTGTCTGACTCTCCACCAGCTTCATCTGCCTTGCTCAGATAAAAGTGTAGCCGGTCGCCATGTTTTTCATTCAGGGACTCCACAATGTTGAGAGTCCGCTTGCACAGAGCCTGACCCATGGGGTCAAAGAAAACCAGAATAAGGTCACAAAGTTCCCCTGAAAGTAGCAATAATAAAATATATTATTTTTCATAGAAGACAGAATTATCTAACAATAAAAAAAGGTCACATGAATACATGATCAAGAGTAAATAAAGTTAATGTAACAATTACATATTGGAGTACATCATTATATTGCTTAGTCAGTCAGAAACAGAAGTCGGCACTTTGTAAGAGCTCTAGTAGAAAACTGGAGGTGTTCATCTTTTTCTCTGAGGCAAAAAATTGTTTTGTTTACAAAAGCAGATAGAACAAAGCTTCAGAAGAACCTGTTCTACTCATATTGAGCTGAATATGTGAAGTAAAAATGTTGATAATTCAGTATTTCAGATGTAGGCATATCTGACAGCTTACATTTGTAATCCACAACTTTCTGCTTCCCAAAAACATAAATGCATCACACAAACACAACTTGTTTAAATTCCTCATGAGTCAGGAGGAGTAGACTATAAGAAAAAATAATTATGGTACACCAAACAAATGAAAAATAGAAAGAATAGAAAGAAGGATAATAGCCTTTAAAAACTGAAAAGTGTGGAGGATCTTCCAGCCATTTGTCATTGCTACTATTAAAATGTCTTTTATACATTTATTCATAATTTATGTAATATTACTTGAAGGTGTTTCCTACAAAAGACGTGCACATTCGGGAAACAGTTCTTGCGTATGTTTAGAGAATAAATTGTCCATTTTTGCTGACATTTAAGCGACTGGCTAGGGGAGAGAACTGCTTACGAAGTGGAGCAATCAGGAAGAAAAACAATCCAAGTCCAAATGATTGGAAGCATTTTTGTGGGAACCTACCCAGCCAGAGGACCACCTCGTCCACATCAAAGGGATATTTCATATCTCCATCCACCAAGCCTGGAGAATCCACAAACGTCACCAGGCTGAACCGCTTTTGTCGCGATGTGCAGATCTCTGTGCTCAGGTACTCTGAAACACCTTGAGGAGAATTTAAAAGATTGGATAACCATTTGAAAAATAGCATAGTAATGAAAAAAAGAGGTAAATATATAGAATTAAGCAACTTCTCTTGAGACAAGCAGCCAGCACATTTTTTGGTGACGATGAATCAAAATGCTCACCTTTAAACTCTTGCAGAGGCTTGAAATGTGGATATAGATGAAGGGTTGCGTTTCCCTGAAGATGGAAACAAAACCACATTTTTGTCACTAATAATGACAGGAGGGTAGAAAAAAATAAATGTGCACATAAATGCCTTGACCAACAACATTCCTGTGCCACAAAGATAATCTTCTGCTGCTGCTGCTGCTGCTGCTGCGCTCACCGTGAGGGACTCTCTTTTGCGACCGCTTGTAACAAAGCTGAAACCCTGCGTCTCAATAGCCACCCCAGTGCGCTGGATGTGCTCCTCTACATACCTGGGAACAGCAAATACATGCGAGTAAAAATATGGGGCAACTTAAAATGGATCACAGGAGACAAGGACTGTTGATCTATTCAACATTTTGTCATATTAACAACAAACTTCAGGGTATTTAATTAAGATCCAACAATGAAAAACCTAATTCAATTCACACACTTCACACAGATTCCTAATGGACTTAGATTGGGCCATCCTAATGCTTGAAAAAGCTCTGATTTTGCATGTTGTTTCTTCTTGTACACAGCATATGACCACATCTCTCGAACTCCTGGCGTTTTTCTATTAAAATGTAGCACACATGGTGTATGAGCCATAAAAAAAATCTTGTTTTACAAAGTAATCTTTGACTTGTCTACTTTGTTCTTTTGACTTAATGCTGTTTGTTCACCAGTTTTATCTCTTTTAAATCACACACAGGTGGTGTGTATTCACGTCACTCAGGTGATTTCAGGAGGCCTTTGATTGAGCTGGATCTCATTTAGTGGCATCACAGTACAAGCAGGCTAAACACAAACCTTCAGAATGATGTCGTACTATGTGTTAAACATACACAAGTCCTGTAAAATACTCTGAAGTTTGTGGAGGTCAAAGTGGACACACATATTTACCAGTTGATGAAAGAGCTTTTCCCGGCTGAGTGGTTGCCCATCAGCATCACTGTAATTTTTTTCCTGGGTGGAAGGAGCTTCACACCAACAGCTTCAGCCACTGGAATTAACCCTGCAGAAAATACAAAAACACGGGCAAAACTACAGTTAGGGTTTGTTTTATACCTGTCTATAGCTTTAAAAAATAAAATGCAAGAAGCGTGAACGTCTAAGCCTGAACCCCAAGGGATGAAACAAATGCAGTGACACACTTGCATCAAACAACGCAGTTGTCCAATCTGTTGTCTGCTGGTTAAAAGCAGAGGTGGCTAACTTGATTAGCATCAACCTTTCCAAGTGCAACGTCAGCCGAAATCACAGAATCCTTGTTAGCAAGTAGCTAACACCTAGCTGCAACCGAAATACTCCAGCGAGTTATCGGGGTAACAACAAACTTTATCTCAAACACTGTGTTTAAAAAGAGCGCAGCTGCATTACGACCAGGTATTAATTACGTGCTGTAACCCACCGCTGTCCGCCTCCGTGTACAGCTGATGAATATCCCGCAGGATGCGCTCATCGCAGGACACTCCGCCGGCCATGGAGTCCGCGTTAGCCGCACTTCGGCCTTTGGCTTTTCCCGACATAACGGCACAGTGATGAGGTCGAGGAGTTGCAGAGGACCGCAAGAGCTTTCACAAGTCCAGAACGAGCAATGAGAGAACAGCCTGCTCTCTGATTTGAATCACCCCGGTCCGCTGAAAACCGGTGATGAGACGTTTCTCAGCCACGTCGTCAGCTTTGGGCGTCGATGGTCGCAAAGACCTATGGGAAATGTAGTTTCCCCTCTTAGCTGACTCGCAACGCCTATCAAACTGCTAACTTCAGTCTCTACTACAGTATGTTAAATGTGAAGTTTAAAAATACCAATAAATAAATCATTTTAATAAATGTTCTAATCAAAGATGACAGATGTTTTGTTGATTTTCCTTTTAATTCTAAATATTTTATAAAATGAAAAAAAAAAATGCAGTTCCCAACAAATGTTATACAGTCTGAACTTTTCCACATTTTCCGACCCACAAACACAAACTTTAAAATATATCTTTGGCATTTAAGCGTCGGACAAACCAACACAATATGTACACATTGCCCTATTTTAGCTATTATGGATGAGCGGTAAGCAGCAAGTCAACGTCACAAGAATGTCAGAAGAGGTCTTATGTGGAAACTTTATGTGCTTCCACATAGGAAGCACATGAAGCTCATTTTGGCCAGATGAGACTGAACCTTTTGGCCTAAAAATAAAACTATGTGTGGCAGAGGACATACGCTGCACAACATGCCTAACATGAGCATCCCTACAGTGAAACATGGTGGTGGCGACAGCATCATGTTGTGGGGCTACTGTTCAGCAGATACATGGAAGCTGCCAAGAGTTGTAAAAGGTTGAGGTTGAGTAAAACATTAAAATATTTTGGAGTCTGACTACAACCATCACATTTAACATACTAATATCATGGATCAGAGGTTTTATTTTGCACTATTGCAAAGTATTAGAAGTGCAACTTGCAACTTGGGTGCCCTCTAGTGGTTCTGTGCTTAAAGCAGCTGACCAGTTTGTTTATTCTTGGGGCCAGCACTGCCAATAGAGTAAGCCTCCAATTATAATTGGACGTTAAACATTAAAGTGTCTAATGCAGCCCTGACCAGAATCAGATGAAAGATTGGTCATAGTCAACCAATGCTATTAGTGCTTGAGTGGTTTATAGATAATAAAATCTTCTGTCTCTCTTTCTCCATCTGCAAGTAGTGAAAAAGCTTCCATCTCTGGTCAAACAGCAGACTTTGTTCACTTATTTAAGCAGAACTCTGACCTGAACATTACTTGAATATTGAAAAACTGGCAAATGTTTGTGGTGTGGGAAGCAATGAGGATTAAAAAAAAAAAAAAAAGGCGTATTGGATTTGTGGCGCCGACTAGGACTGGCTCTTATTTAATTAGTGATTTCTTGTAAGAGGTTCCAGCTGAAGCCCCATTGCAGCTGGATTCTTTGGCTCTTCCTGTAACGCCTATTGATCAGCGATATTCGCCATGGTCCACACACTGAATTTCTTTTATATAACAGAGTATAGAAACGCAGGCAGTCAACTGAGAAACAGCCTTGGAATACATGGACATTCTTCAGTCCTCTAGGAAGTAGTCCAATCAAGCCCAGACTTAAATTCAATTGAGAATCTATAAGATGCTCTCTCCAATTTTTAAGATGATTATTATTTAAGTCTAACAATCTGAGCTCAGTAAATTGACTATATTGAGCAAGGTAAACATAACCTAGTGAACTTAATTTGATGAAAATAATGTGTAAATCCGGTGCTGCTACAGATCGATTGCTTTACTTCAATTTGTTCTTTCAACAAATAATAAACCTTCAATACTGACAGCAGATATTAACCAACAGATAAAACCCCTGCATTTAAGCCAAACCTTTTAATATCTTCATAGTTCAGAGCTATAATAACAAGTATGTTTTCCTAAGCTTTCTCAGTACATCACACCGAGACTATTTTAATTGCCTAAAGATGAAATAAGCCAGTTTCAGTAGCAGGAATGCATTCTTTCTACAAAATAAAAAGCAAAAATCATTTTGAGATGTAATTATAGGTCATTTTAAAGGTAATATTGAAGATCTTGGTATATTAAAGAGTTTTTAGGGTCTAAAAATGTGAGACAGTTTAAGACCCTGCAGAAATGCACACCACACTTGTTAAGACTTTGATTTTAATACTAATCAATGTTTATTTTCCCTTGCCCTATAGTCACATGGAAGAGCTTGAATGGTGAATATACCCACGTTAGGTGCAATGCTGAATTTTTGAGGGGATTCAATAAATATGGCAACATACAAAGTCACACTTTAAAACCTTTGTGGAGCCGTTTCATCAAATGAATCAAAAAAGCACTAAAATTATAGCTTTATCATAGATGTACATAATCTTTATAGAGTTTACTTATGCAAAAGAAGTTACATTACTTCTTTTGCTTTTTTTTCTTTTCTTCGATTTTGCTTTATCATGCTAACTGGTTAAATGCACTTTATGTTTTCCAATATTAGGTCAGAATATCATTAATGAATTAGTGGGAACACTCCCATGAGGGGTCATGCGTGCTGAAAGGACGAGAGCTCTTCAGGCTCTGCTTTGCCTCATCATCAGAGCAGCCTTTTGTCTCCTGATTACCAGTGGGCCTTCCGCTCTCTGGCAACCAGCTCCAAGAAGTGGGAGTGGCTCGCATAGAGGCTGAAGGACGAGTCCACGTCCACCCACTGGACGTGTCCTGCGTCATCGCCAGCCTGCAGAGGCAGCTCGCTCACACTGTTGCCTGCAATCACAGGAATATTTAGAGGACGAGTGCGCAGCTGTGGCGATAGGGGGATTTCAGGAAAAATGCAAAAGAAATGTTACCCGCTTCATCGTGGAAGTTGACGGCGACCGTCTCCATCCAGGCGTTGTCGGTGTTTCTTGGATCATCAACATAACCTTTATAAATCTGAAAGGAGACAGGTTTCTTCAATATTGCTTGAGCACTTCCTCACATACATTTTTGGTTATTGGGTCTCTCTCATGTATTCAGAGCCCTTGAATTTTTTTATATTTTATGTTAAACCCACAATTTCCAATGGATTGTATGTCACAGACAAAAACAAAGAGTGTTTTGGGTTTGTTTTTTTTCACAAACTGACTTAGTTCTGGGCTAGGTCTTGCTATGATCGAAACCATTCTGTTACAGGTTTTCTTCTGTTGTCTCAGCTAAAACGTGACGACAAACCGTCACATTTTACTCAAAAGTTACTCACCCCGACCCCTCCAACCTCGAAGAGTTTTTGGATGCGATTGAGGATGTCTTCCTTCTCTGACTGCTTTAACGAAAGCAAATTAAGGGCTTCCTCGGAGAACTCCCGCTGCATCGTGTGGGAAATCTGTTCCCCTGGGTCCACCATTCCCTGTCAGAACCAGGATGCGCAGACAAAAATATATTCTCAAAAAGAAAAAGCACAAGAAAAAAAAAATGGCTTTAAAACTTAAGTTTCCCAACTTTAGCCAGAGAATAAACAAGCACAAATCAGGTGTGCCATAAAATTGCGAACGTTGCTGAATATTTAAATTTTGACAGCTGGAGATGAATTAGTGATGCCACGGTTTCTCTAATGAACCCGCTTTTCAAACATCCGGAATAAAACGGATCACGTGCGCGACTTTCATTTATTTATTTTTTCAGAACACAGGTTCTAATCCTGTGGGCTGGATTTTAAACTTCTCAAGGAAAAAGGAAACAGACAGTGAAAGCTTCTGTCCTTTGCTCCACCTCCGGCTCTCCTCGGGGACGAGTCATTTTAAATGACTCAGTCGTTATTAGCCTGCTTAACCTAAGAGAAACGGGCCACGGCTCTGCGGTGGAGGACTTTCGTTCAGCGGTGTGATGAATCTTACTAACAGATGAAGAACTCAAGAATATGATCACTGATTTTCAGAACACAGGAAACGGCTCTTCTAAAGGACCAGACTGTGGAAGCTGTTGACGCCTACAAATATCTGGTCACAGGTATTGACAGTAAACTAACCCAATCTGAGAGGCTGTATATAAGAAAGGGAACTCAAGAAACTCTCTTCATTCCACCTTGACAAAACCTTTTTCATTCTATTTTTATCCAAGCCTTTGTTGGATTGGTTCCATCTTTCCGCTCCATGTCCTGGTTTGGTATTTTAACTCTTAAAAAGAAGAACTGCCTGAACCAAATACTAAAACAGTCCAGTAAGAAGAAGGATGAGATGCAGCTGAACCCAGATTCCTTTTACTTCAGGCAGGTGAGGAGGTCATCTACATCCATCTTAAAGAGATGCGTCTCATCCTCTGCACTGCGATTCCAGGCTCCTCCCATCTAAACGCAAATATTTCATTCCCAATGTAAAATTAAGTGGTACAAAACCAGTTTTGTTCCTGCAGCCACAAGCTTCTAAAGTTCAATTTCCCATAGTTTTAATATCGGCTTATTTTATTAAAATGTTTTAATCTTGTCCTAATGAGTTTAGTGTATTTGAGTCAGTGTTTTTTTGAATACATTTTTTACAGATTTAATGTTGTTTTTGATATTTTTAAGAACTGAGCGCGAGGCCATTTTGAATCACGTTGTATTTATATTTATTGTGTGTTGATGTAAAGTTTTCTGTCTGGTGAGAAAGCTGACGCAACTCACTGTAACCAAATCTAATAGCAAAGTTGATTGGGGATGTTGGATACTCTAAATTCCTTTATACAAAGACAAATGAGTTTATTCTGTCTTTCTCCACAGCTTCCTTGAAAATGTCATGAAAAATGGACTAAGAAAATAGCTTACACCTGGAATGGCCCACTCCCCACAGTCTTTCCTCTGGATGGACACAAACTGCAGGATAGGCTTTTTGGAGGCCGAGTGATGAATCTTTTTTCCGCTGGCATCGACCTTCCACCTGCCACACAGAGCAACGCCTCAGGTCATCAGAATTAAAAGAATAAAATCATCTATAGAGAAGTTTACATGCACTCACCAGGGGCATACATTTAGTAATAATTTTGAGCTTTTAATTCGGCACTTGAATCCGTTTGTCAGGTTAGTCTAATACAACACATGGTTGAAAAATAGAAACTGGTCCCACAGACTTTCTAAAAGGTTTTAGTCAAAGCTGCTCCAGATGTTTAATGCTTTATTCACTTCAAAATCAGTTTTGATGTGTTTGGGATTATTTTCCTATATAAACACCAGATATAGCCACGTTTTTACCATCTTATTGTTGATCTGATGTGAACCTCAAAAACATTTGGTGGTAGCTCTCGGTCTTCATTATCCTAGAAACTTTGTATACAATGCACCAGTGCCAGTGAGTGCAAAAAGAACCCTCAGCAAAATGCTGCCACCACCATGCCTGGAAGGTTGATCCAGTGTACTTAGGCTTAAAAGCCTCACTTTGCCTCATAAACATTCTTCTTATATGTGTGTTTATACACGTCAACAGCTGCAAATTTTCAGCTGTCCATTTTGGAGCCGAGGATTATTCCAGGTAGCTAGTGGGTTGCTCTTTAACATTATAACTAAATCGCTCCCAACCAAAGTGGACCGTTTTTGATCGAACGGTTGGAACTGGATTCAATCTGGTCTTCCGACTGACGCCAAACACACATCAAAAAGGGTTTTGGGTAAAGCAGACTCACATTAAGCATTCTTAATGAGTCTGACCTCAACTGTCACAAATGCATGCTTAAAAGCCTGATCTATGGAAACCAACCAATTTAAATTATTTCCGCCATGTCTAAAAGTAATGGCAGTTAAAGATACTAAAAGTAATGGCAGTTAAAGATACTGTCACTAACCATAATGCCATTATGCCACAACCGGCATTATGGCAGAAGCTAGCTGAAGGTAAAAAAAATAATAATCTTTTAGATCTAAATTAAAAAGGCTTTCATGCAAAAGATGGCTAGATGGAAACTTTTAACCAACACTGAAACGACAAAGACTTGTTTCCTTTTACAGATAAAAGTAAACGAGTTTAATTAGTTTATAGAGAGACTTCTCCCTTTTAAAAACAGAATGACAATCAAAATGCTAATTTATACCTGAACAGATGTTACCTTGTGACTATAGGGTCTGCAGCATGATTGGGTCCCCATCGTCCAAGCAAACCTCGTCCAGTCAAACCAGTGCGTCCACGAGGGTTTCTAGATCAGAAACATTCAGTGTTGGAAACTAGAATTTCTGGTTTCAACAAAAAATGTCTTCAGTAAAGATCACAACGTTGATTAGCTGGCATCCACTTAGGAAAAAGCACCTACAGAAAGTCCTCACCCAAATGTCTCTGTACATTAACATTAAAGAGTCTGGCTTTTACTTTTTTGTTGTTGTTTTCACCGCTGTCCTGAAAGAACCAGCTGCACACACACACACACTTATTAATCTGATTTCAGGGAAATGTTGCAAATTGCTCTTTAACTTACAATGGCCTCTCATTTTCCACTTTGTATTTTCCCTCAAAGCTCGACCTGTCCACAGGACCGTCATAAGCATTGAACTTTGGAGAGAAGGAACTGCAGGACAAGCAAATAGTACACAGAAATTAGACAAAAATCTTAGAAAAAGTGTTCAGACCCCAATTTTTTTCACCTTTTCTCGTATAACTGCTACAAACTGAAAGACGTCTTTAGTCTGTTTATGTGATTAACTAAAGACAAAGCAGGTTGTGACTGGGAAGCAAAAACTAGACATATTTTTTAAAATATAAAATAAAACTCACACTTTTATTCAGTTCAAACAACCGTATAGTCATGTGTGAGAAATGCCAAGGTGGTAATGGAGTTGAGAATCTGCACCAAGACTTGAAAAATCAGCGTTCACAGACCCAAGTGATCTGATCTGACCGAACCTGAGCCATTTTAGAAAGAAGAAAAGGGAAAACATCGGCCTCTGCAGACGCAACCCTGACAGAAACACACATGTGAAACATTTGCAGCTCGACGGGACATTTCATTGGGGGAACCGAGTACAAATGAATGACCTACTCTTAAGTTTCATATTTTCAAAAAATGAAAGTTGAAAACCATGTATAGATTTGCTTCCACTTCAAAATGAGGCACAACTTTGTTCTGATCCATGACATAATGTATCACAGTTAACATGCTGTGGCTCTGATGTGACAAACAGCAAGTACTTTTGCAAGTACAAGAAAGCAAAGAAGTGAAATGCACACTGTGTGATCAAATCAAATCATCCAGATGTTAAGATTTATTTGCTAACATTGCTCACCCAATATCGGGATCAGCCCAGACTGGCTTCTTTAAAACAGCTGGAGCAGTGTGCTCTACCGGGCTATACTGGGGCCACTCCTGGTTCCAGTCCACCTTGTCGTCAGGTACAGTGAAGCGCTTGATGGTGGACTCTGGATACTGTGGACATCTGGATTTTACATGAGGACCTGCTGGGGAGAACATGGTCCCGATACTGCTGGTGTAATAGTCCCCACAAACAGGTTTAATATGTTTACTGGCTCTGTCAAGATGATGGGATGAGCAAAGAACCGCAGGTCTGAAGAGGGGAAACAAGAAAAAGACACACCTACTTTCAGTTCTGGTTTATTGGCGACATGGAGGCGACTACTTGGTTTCTATCATGAAACCGAAAGCATACAGCTGGTCGTACCTGGCGCCAGGTGTGGAGGCAGTCAACGGGAGTCCAAACAGAGTAATCGCCAAACGAATAGCACTTGTCCACGGTCGTCTCGAAGAAGAGAAAACCATTCCTGTAAAGTCAGGAGTAAATCGTTTAATCAACCCACCTCATGACGTGAGCAGGAAGTGCATCCCTTTGCGTGGTGACTACGTCACCACGCAAAGGGATGCGTTTGAGCTTGTTTTTTTTTTTTAACAAAAACAAGCTCAAAGTTTTTATCTGACATGCAAATGACACCAGCAAATGAGACCCAGTCCATCACTTTGCCTCCACCATGTTTTATGTGGTTGTCAATAGACAGGGTAAAGTTTTACGTGTCCCAACTCGTCCTTTAAGGATGTTAACTTTGGTTTCCTACCTTACAGTACCTAACATAGAGTTATTTATATTCAAATAACTTATATCTGAAAGACAAAATTGAACCAGAGTCCACTTTTGTTTTGCTTCTGACAAAATAACTTACCTAAACACAATATGTAACTGAAATGAATTAAACGTAGTTGTTTGGTCCTTTTCGACCGGTTCTCACCCTTCTTATGCAACACCAAGAATAATTTACTAGAGGATTAAAGTAATTTGTTACATAATGAAAACCCTGTATGGGTTTTCAAGTCAAACGTTCCCTCTCCAATATGGCGGACGCGCTGACGTATCGCTTCTACAGCTAAAGCGGCGCCTCCTCGCCTACACATCAACTGCTGGCTGTCGCTCGAACGCATTTGTTCTTTTTTTTTTTTTTTTTCGCTGCTTTTAGTTGTAAGACTGATTTCGCCCCGCCCAAACAACGCAGCCCTGTATACATATCCAGCGCACCTGTACGATGCCGTAGTTTTGCACGCGCATTTACGCTTAGTGCCGAGAACTAACCGAGCTCGCGCACCAAATCCATTTACGTTGTTGGTTGTAAAGAGGAGCAGCACATCGCCCTCTCTGCTCCATTCCCTCCGCTCAGCAGAATCATCCGCCGGAGCGAAGTAACGGGAAGCTGGAACACCCTGCTGAAGGCAGCGGCATTTTCTCGGAAGGAAACACCCTCAGAGAGCGGGAGCGGTTTGTAGAGAAGAATGGCGGATTCATGCGGCGATATGCCTGTCAAGGCCGAGAACTCGGAGTGCGCTGAAATAGTTGTTGATACAACTGAGCCGTCGAAAGCGATTAGTACTGGTGCTGGTCTCGGCTCTGGCTCCGGTCCTTGCCCCAGCTCTGACCCTGCCCCTGGCCCAGATATTGGCTCTGACACCCGTCCTGGACTCGACCCCGACCCTGCAGCTGCACCTAAACCCATCCCCATGTCTGTGTCCAAACCCGAGGAGGCAGCGGCCCCTGGTTCTGGCGTTGTCTCCGGTTCTGACTCTTCTCTCGGCGCCGATTCTGGCTCAGCAGAACCCATGACTGTGTCCGAGTCTGAGGAGGCAGCGGCCGCCGCTCCTAGGACTGACCCGGGTCATGCTTGCAACCCCGGCCATGCCCCTGGTTCTGGTCGTGCGCCTTGCGCCGACTCTGTCCCCATGGCTATCTCTGGACCGGAGGAGGCTGCGCCCCCGCCTCGGTTGCCCAAAACAGACGTGGAGCTGGTGAAGGGACAGGCATTCGACGTCGGACCCCGCTACACCAACCTGGCTTACATCGGGGAGGGAGCGTACGGCATGGTGTGGTGAGTGTTATCCGCCAGCTCCCATCGCGCGCTTGCCTTCCCTTCAAGCTCTTTTAAACGGCGCATCTTTTCAGAGTAGATGCAATTATAACGGGGAGTGTGCAAAAACACGTGCAACTTTGCAGCAGCGGTCCTGCTTAACAGGTTAGCTGAGCTGCTGCTACAGGCGGGGTTCTGATAAAGCTATACAGGAAGCGAGATTGGGGGAGCGATTGCGCAGGACGCGGTTGACTTTTTCTCAAATATGTTCGCAAGCTTGTACTCAACCTCAAATGTGCCATAAGCCTAATTAGACCACAGTTCTCCTCTCTGCAGGAATAAGCCGCAGCGCAGCGTCCAGGGTGGATTTGTTGGTGGTAGCCAGGCCTTTCCTCCTGTTATGTGATCTGCAGCCCTGCGTGGCCACTTTGTGAAGTCATCACTGGAGCAGAAGATCAGATAGGGAGTGTGATATATATATATTAAAAAAACGAGATAAAAACACCCATTGATATCGGGATGAGACAGTTGGGCAGTTTACATATTTCACATTTGTTTGCCTGATGCCAGACGTGTGATGCCACCATACATGCAGTCAAGTGTAAACATCACAACCGGTCGGTTTGGTGGAGGGAGAACAGTTAGTTTAAGTTCATCTTAAACACCGAGGAGGAGCCATCTGACTGACATGGACAATATGTGGTTTTAATGAGCTGAGCTTTAATGAGTGGTGGTGGGGGAGGATTTGTTTTATCTTATTTTATACAGAAGGTGAAGGGAAAAGGAGCAGATCTGGATCTTTAAATGTTTGTGTCACACATTCCTTCTCTAAATATGCAAATGTTTCGACTAGAATTAGCCAACCGGATGTTTAAATCGGCCAATTTCCCCCAGATTAAAAAAAAATTGTTCTTTTTAACCGTTGTTTATTTCGAGGCGCTTTAAGGTCAGTTGAAAAACAAACAAATCTGGTACATTTGAAGGATAGAGATGCACCAATTTTTTTTTTAGGTCTACTTTTGAAGTACAAACTGTGCTGCAATGTACATGCTGTTTGCTGATGCATTTATAGAGAGAAAACTGAGGGAGTTCTTAGCTTTGATGCATTCAATGACTAGGAAAAACTTTTCTTTTTTTTTTATCTCTGATCATTACCAATTAAGGGGAAATTATCTGATTTCAATCTAGCAGCTTGGTCAGTGCATCTCTAGATTTGACTTAAATGTTCAGCTGCACACCTCCACTAACAGCAGAGCGGTGGTGTAATGTCTATTCTCTTGCAAAATGTCATGCAAAACCCAACGCCGATAACCCCAACAAAGGAAGTAGCGCCGAGATAAAGCCGCAACGCCAACATCATGTCGTCGTCCTCACACTCCACACCTTTCAGAAGTCTGCAGTCGTTTTTGCTTGTGTGAGTTGTGCGTGTGCGCTACTTCTTGTGTTTTGTCCTTCCTTTTCCCATATCCAGTTCAGCTCAGGACAACTGGACCCAACAGCGGGTGGCCATCAAGAAAATCAGCCCGTTTGAGCACCAGACGTACTGCCAGCGCACGCTGCGAGAGATCAAGATCCTGCTGCGCTTCCGCCACGAGAACATCATCGGGATCAATGACATCATCAGGGCGCCGCAGTTGGAGAACATGAGAGACGTGTATCCTGCCACGCTGGGACCTGTGTAACTCGCCAGGAGCTGAGTGTTGCGGAGATTTTTCTTAATTTTAAGACGAGCAGAGAGGAAACGTTCGGCTAAGAGCAGCGAAGCTTAGACAGCATCAAGGTTCCTGTGGTTACCAAAGCAGGTGAACTTGAGACAAAATCCTTGGAAGAGTTGCAGGGATTTATTAGTTAGTTTTGTTGTTTGGCTTTATCATCCGCTCTTGTCACGTTTAATTGTGCAGAGACTCCTGCGCTCTTTCACCTTTATTGCGGCAGGTTTTCATTTTTTAAGTGTTTGGCTTTGAGGATTGGTTCTGCCCTTCCAGTCAAGCCGCCTGCGAGGCAGCTGAGATTAGATGAGTCGGACCCGTCAGTAACGACTTAGACGGGATTCTACGACCCCTTTGAGCTTCAACAGGCCCTTTTTTTCCGGCTCAAAAACCTTCAGTATGAAACTGTTGAGATTCACATCGAATAGAAAGTAAGCAGAGTTGAACTGCTGGCAGATTATTGCATTTTCAAGTGTTTTTTTATTATTTCAGGTTACTGTAATGAGGCTGGCCTTACAGGAATTACCTAATTAAATTTTCTACAGAACAAAAATACCAAACTATATCCTTCCACAAATTGTATCCAAGCAGTTTGTTTTATTAGGCAGTTTGTAATGACTATTTCGATTCGACATATTGTGCAGGTTTAGTATAAACTAGGGATGGACAATGTGGACAAAATTTTGTGGTACTCTTATGATAATGGTAAAAATAATAAACTATTCCTTGTTTTTTTAGGTAACATTTTGGCTGTGAGTGCCTTGCACAGCATTCATGACACCCTAATCACAAAAACTGCTCTGAAAAACATCCATTTTTAAAACAAGTTGACTTAGTGATTTCTATTACACACTAAACAGATTATTTACTGATATTTATTGATGTCCTTGTGGAGAAAATTCTAAAAATAACATGTCTGACAATACTGTTAGTTTTTGGGGGGATTTTTATTATTAACTGGAATTTATCAAGACAAATTTAAATGAAAATTTTGATATAAAGAGATTATGATTATTGATAAACGATACGATAAATACTCACCCATTTTTTGTATGAATGCCACTATCAGCCATGTTTTTTAAAACTAACTATTTAATTTTTTTTTTTGTTTTTTAAAAGCTAAATGAAGTCTATTTTTTTCCATCCTATATTTGCAAAAAGTAGAATATTATCTGAGCATGGAGCCTCAAGATTTGGCAGCAACGGATAAGTTTGTAATTAGATTACTCCGTCAATCCCTTAGACTGTGCTAAAACGAGTTTTCGCGCTCATAGGGATTTAAAATTATTATTTATTTTGCCTTTTTAAAGAATCACTTTTACGACGTACTGTAAATAAAATGTCTTTCACCTTCCTGGGACAAAAAATTTGATTAGCACCGACTCTGATTTATCTCAAAGCAGATTTTCTTTCCATCCTATACATTTAGTTATATGGATTTACAAAATATTAAAAAAATATGTTTTTTCCCAGTCAAAAAAAAAATACTTGAATGAATTTCAACTCCAGATAATGGAGGGCTTTTCAATGTGATTTCAATTGTAAATTCAAAAAGTTGTTTTTTTTCTTCCTGAATGTATGTCAATAGCTAAAAAAGACCACTGGACGCAGATAGTTTTCTCTGTTTTTTTCTAAGTGGTCCATTCAACACCGGCATGGGTAAAAAAGTGAAATAAAATAGAAAAATGTCCATGGACAGGGCAGGGTTAATCTAACACGTCACCTGTGGTGGTTAAGCTGCTTCAGTTGTTTTTCTTTGGTTCCCGTTGAGCAGTGATGTGTGGGCACGGCCCGCCAGCGAGCTGCTGTCGCTGAGAGCTGCTCTGGCTGCTGCTTTGTTCAAAAGCTTCATTGTTTCCAGAAAAAAAAAAGAAAAATGTCAGGAATGTCTGAGTCTTTCAATCTTTGTCTTGTTTGATGCTCCCAGTCGGTTTGGTTGCTCAGTGTTGCCACCTTGCAAAGGCGTTTGTTACCGAGCAAAAGTAACAACTGATGGGATTTGATCAGCTGAGAGCAACAGATAATGCTGTGAACACACAGCTTTTGTGTTAATGCCAAACAGTTGGAGCGGATCGTTTTTCTTCTTTCTTTGCCAAAGAAAAGCTGCTCATTTGCTGTCTGTCGTTTGGTTTTTGGTTAGAAAACACACAGCAGTATCCTGTCATGGTGATGCACAGCACAGATCACTATTGGGTCCTCTTTTCTGATGTTTTTTTTTTTTTTTCTTTTATCTCACCCTGCAAGGTTTCTAGTAGATTTAGGATGAAGATGACCATAATAAAAAAGCTGATTTTGCTACTTCTGCATGGATTTGCTCCCAGATTTGGGGTCAGTTTGTTATATGAAAACCCAGCGACCAGCCCGTTATCGGTTCTCTGGTAGAATCCGTCAGATTTTTGTTAAAAATGTTCATGTGCTATGGAGGGGATCCACACGGCCTTTCAGCAGAGAATCAAGCCCGCAGCATCACAGATCCTCCACCGGATTTAGCTAGTGGGTGTGAGGTGTTGTCACACATGTTCATCCCTGTTGAAAGGAGTGTTTGCCGAAGCCGTAGCTCAGCTGAAGTCCATCAGAGTTTTGCTAAGAAAGGATGACGACAGGCAATAATCTCATTTCATATTTTGACCTACCTTCTCAACAACAATAATTTTGCAATATGTTGTGCTGCTCTAATTGTTACCACTTACTTTAAAAGACATTGCATGCAACTCTGCAATCTTTGGTTGGTCAATGCATGGAACTGTCTTGTTAAACAACATTATGTTTAACAGGGATTTTATAATACTATGCGTAACTTTTGTTATATTACCTTGCTTCATTTCCTTGTGGCTAAAGGGGAACGGTCAGAACATGAGCAGCCTCATCGATTGTTCTTCTGATAACCGTGCATCTGTTCTTTTTGTAGATTTTGCGGTTGATTTTATTTTATTTTTTCTTCTGGTTTACCAGAGAATGATTAGAGGAACATAGTCATTGCAACACAGGTTTCACACTGTCTGCAGCCCAAGGTTTTGCAGTTTCAGGTTGAATAAAAGCCGTGAAAGTGGGTCTGAAGAGAAATTTAAAAAAAAAAAAGTGAAGCACCCAAATTTTGTCAGTCCAATGTAAAAAGAATGTGACTTTCTGTCAGTTTTGGGTTCGTTTGCCTTGACCCATGCGTGTGTCCAGCTACATCGTGCAAACGCTGATGGAGACGGACTTGTACAAGCTCTTGAAGACCCAAAAGCTGAGCAACGAGCACGTGTGCTACTTCCTTTACCAGATCCTGAGGGGTCTGAAGTACATTCACTCTGCCAACGTGCTGCACCGGGACCTCAAGCCCTCCAACCTGCTCATCAACACCACCTGCGACCTCAAGGTGAGTCCGGACATCTGGCGGTAAAGTTTTCAGCAGAGACTAAGTAGAAGGATGTCGTACCTGCAAAGGTACTCGTACCACTTGACGGTTTTCACACTTAATAGAGCAACATAAATTAGTGCTTATAGTCCTGATCTGCAGTAAGACTTTTTGCATAATTTTGTCAGCCTGTCACAACAAAATACACCGCAGTGTGTGGCGGATACAAATATGGAGGACACTCTAGTTCCTCCTCTGTACAACGTTGTGTTTTGTGTTGGGCCGATCTGGCTTTCCCCTGTTTCATTTTACCTTTGCTTTAAATCTACATGTTCCCACTACAGCTGCATCTGTCTTGGTGATTTTAGTTCTTGGTCAGGTGCTGCTTTTAAATACCTCGTTGGTTTCGAGAGTCATAAAAACTTCACATTTCAATTTCTTTCTTCTGTTTTTTTTTTTTTAGCAGAGTAAAATGCAAACTTGTTCAGAAAGTCTGCATCCATAATTTTGTTTACAAGTAACAATGTCTTTGAAATTACAGTAAATGTGAAGGTTTTTACAGGTTTTCTGTAGTTCCTTCTCTTCTGATTAATCACCTCGCTGAGGTTTTTCACATTTTGTAACAAACACAAACATCAGTCTATTCTTGTGGGTCTTTGCGATATGAGGCAACGCAAAGCAAGCCCCTCCAGGAAGTTGCAATCGCAACTATTTGTGCAAATTCATTCGTCGTTCTCAAATTTTGAGCGATGCAGTTTTCACCCATCACCGCAAGTTTTCCGCAAGCCTAACCAAATCGCCTGCAGGTTTTCTGTAGGCGATTTGGTCTCTTCTGATTAATCACCACGCTCAGCTGAATTTTTTCCAGTCTTCTTAACCCCTTTCTAATATAACTTCCCGCTTCATGACATCTCTTGACAGTCAAACCTGCAAGACTGACGCAAAACAGTTGCCCTTTTTTTTCTTTCTTCTTTTGCTTTCAGGCATAATTTTATTTGCATTAAGGGTGTTTTTTGTAGCACCATGTTACGACACGAATAAAACAACAACAAAAAAAACAATTGCAACTTTGACCACAAGCCTGTGAAAAAGGTGCCTCAAAATCTGTTTTTTCTTTTAGATTACAACAGTCACAAAATAACACATTTTTTTTAAAAAAAGCTTTTGCTATCTCAGTAAGAGCTATTGTGGATGATAAAAAAAAAAAACTACTTACAGCTTTGGAGCTGCAGGTTCTGCTCTTTAGCATGAAATCTATCTAACTTTGTTCTTGTAGCAGAGAAATTGGGGAAAATTGTTCATGTGTTTTAATCTGATTTTGCAGCTTCCTCTCAGTTTTGTTATTTTTGTTTGCTGGAACTAATCTCTCAGTGTGTGTGTGTGTGTGTAGCATAAAATCCACAGTGGTCTTGTGAAAATTTGGCATTCGACCATCAATCCCTGGATTAGCTGATCATACGTGAGGAATGGAGCACAAAGGAAGCGTTTCAAAGCAGCGTGTTGCCAAAGTCGGACCTAATCCTAAAGCAGCTGTACAGTTGTGACTTTGCTTTCTGGCTTTAATGTGCAGAAAACATTCAATTAAAAATAGATTTGCACAGCAAACAGGTTAGAAAGAATGAACTGTCATATTTGCACCTTTCATTAAAAATAGGTTTGATGTATTTGCGTTGTTCCTCTTATTAGACCAGCTGCTGCCTCCTAATGAAGCCCATTCCTTCTCAGTACATTATCCTGCTTAAATGTAGCCAGATTACGTGAATGTTACACAATTTATAGAACTTCAAAAGTGGCTTTATTAATAAAACAGGAACATATTAAGAAGTGGTGTGTGTCCTCTGGCTGGAGCTTGACAATTAGTTTGAAAACGATGTAAGAAAGAACTGATTTTTTGTTCTTTTTTTTTTTTCCGTTTTGTTTCTTTCTCAGATTTGCGACTTCGGCCTGGCTCGGATAGCCGATCCAGTTCACGACCACACTGGTTTCCTCACGGAGTACGTAGCCACACGTTGGTACAGAGCCCCAGAAATCATGCTCAACTCAAAGGTACGAGTTGAACTCACTCACTCGCTCTCGCAGTTTTGGTATTTGACTGGCAAATGAGTAAAAATTCAGCTGAACGGGTGTGGTTTTTCAGGGCTACTCAAAGTCCATCGACATGTGGTCAGTGGGCTGCATCCTGGCTGAGATGTTGTCCAACAAACCCATCTTTCCTGGGAAACACTACTTGGACCAACTAAACCACATACTGGGTGAGATTTTTTTAAATTTTTTATTAACTGTGCAGTCGTGATGAGGACAAAAAGCAAAACAAAACAAAAAAGCGGCCACGCTGTACAACATCTGTGTGTGCAGGCGTACTTGGCTCACCGTCTCAAGAAGATCTGAACTGCATAATTAACCTGAAGGCGAGGAACTACCTTCAATCCCTGCCCCCTAAGACCAGGATTCCCTGGGACAGACTGTTTCCAAAGGCAGATCCAAAAGGTAGATCCACTTATTATGACTACTGCCAATGTTTGAAAAGACCTGGAAAATGAGGACATTCTAAAGGAAAGTTTATAAGTTTGTTTTGCAGCCTCCATTATTTAAAAATGACTATAATTGAAACATTTGAAAAGTAGGTCAGAGTAATGAAACCACACCCTGATTAAAAGCAGAAATCGTAATATGAATCTGCAGAGAGAGAAACTTAACAAGCACGAAGATTCACTTGTGTAACATTTTTATTTTGTTTTAAGTTGAAACAAGCAAACCGTAGGTGAAAATCTACTGCTAAAAAAACAAACAAAAAAAACCACACATTTAAGAAAAACCCATTAAGAAACGTGTTGTAAGAGAACTAATGCTGCTTATGGGGATATTAGTCAGTCAATAAAGTCTGATTGTTTTATTGGAAAACACAAAGTTTACTGCACATGAAATGTTCTCCGGGATCGTCCAGCAAAAAATGGGCCGACCACAAACACGTTTAAAAAAAAACGGATCAAATGAATTAAACTACTGCAGTAATATAAAATGCATCATATTAACATCTTGAGGAGGAAAAGATTGCAGCGGTCAGTTCGTTTTGTCATCCAACGTGGTTTGTTATCTGCGTCTATTTAGCTTCAGGAACCAAATGCTGTGACAAGTTTCCACACTCAGGGTTCCTACACACATAGAGACATAATGAAGAGAAAAAAGCAAAAAGATCTTTAGTTTTAGGATGTTTTAAACATTTGAGTGTCTGACAAACAAAAAAATTTTCTTACTGAATACATTTTTTTGCACGAGTGTGTAGAAACATTTGCTAACAGAGGATGGTTAATGACGACTCCTTGTTCTTTTTTGGAGCCTTGGACCTGTTGGGTTGCATGTTGACATTCAACCCCAACAAGCGCATCACTGTTGAAGATGCCCTGGCTCATCCCTACCTGGAGCAGTACTACGACCCCACCGATGAGGTACGAACACTTCCTATAACTAAAGTTTATTCCAGAGCAAAGGTGAGAGACGTGACTTTGTAATTTCATCTTGTGGACATAATATATAAATATATCATCTAAAGAAAAAGTTGAATTGTTAAAGATGATTAAATATGTGAATTTGAAAGAGCAATATTTTTTTCTGTAAGGAGTTTTTGCAAGCCCGACCAAAATGTTGTAGTGTGAGAACATTCCACAAATAAATGTTCAGTATTTTCACCATCACACTGACAAAAAGAGCAGCTGTTGCTGACATCTAAAGAGAAGCGACACATATTATTTTTAACTGGATAATATCTATGTGAAATCTTAAATAATTATTTTATTATATATTTACGAGGCAATAAAAAGATTGCACTCTGCAATTTTTTGCGCAAATAACCCCATCTATGTTTACTGATGGGAGTGGAGAAAGCTAGTGAGTGAGTTCTGATAAACCTGTTTTCAAATTTCTTACTCATTATTTTAGCTCCTTCAATTGAAATTGAGTCATGAAGGTTTGGTTTGTGCTAAACAGAGCAAACTATGAGGAACAGCTATAATGACCACTTCAGATTCTTTTTGAGAAATCTCTGTGGTTATTGTTCATAAAATGCTCATAGGTATACCACTCACCATTACTGTGGAGTCACTGATTTATCAAATTAATATTATCAACCCATTCATGAAGAAATAATGATTTTTTTAATAAACATTGTTCCATAAGATGCTGACTTTATTTTAAAATGAAGGACTTGGATTTAACTGTAAGCTGTTAACGCTACTAGTTGCCAATTCTAAACCAATCAGACTCTTCAGCTCCTGTTCTGATCCGTGTTGTGTGTGCTCTGGTGTTAGCCCGAAGCGGAGACGCCATTTGACTTCGCAACAGAACTGGACGATCTTCCCAAGGAGACGCTGAAGGAAATGATCTACGACGAAACGGCTCGTTTCCAGTCGATCAGCTGAGGCACAGGTCAGTCAGTCAGACAGTCAGTTGCATGTTCGCAGCGGCCATTTTACCCGGATTTAAAGTAAAACACGTCTGTTTTATGTGGGTATTCTGCTGAAATGTTTGAGAACTCAAAATAGGGGGGAGGGGGAAAGTAATTTAAAACTAACATCTGAAATTGGATGAAGGTGCTTCTTGATATCTAATTTAAATAAAAGTCTTGATGTTTTGGATTATTCTATTTCCTTTGTTCCTTCTTTGCAAAGTTATTCCAGCAACGCTTGGAGCCAGAAGACTCTGAACGATATGCTTCAACAAAAGAAAAGTACATCCTGAAGAAACCAACAAATATAAACATTAACCTGCTTATCTTTGCATTTCCACTGCAAGACGGAGCTAAGTATAGAAATGGGTTGCTGTTACCGAGCAGGGTGTACTCTGTCAAATTCATGCCCTTTCCGTTTTGTCCTTGTTGGACTCCTCACTCACCTCAGATATAATTTTTTTCCCCCTCTTGTTTTTAAGCCTATTTTTACTGCTCCGGCTTGTCTAGCACCTTCTGCAGTAACTCCTCTCCTCACAAACCCATATAAACCATCCTACTGTATTAACCAGCTCTGCAATGCTCCTGATATATGAGAACGAGTTACTGCTTTAAATATTTGAGGGCTTATAGAACCGGGACGGAGATGCTAACCGGGTGTGTGCATGTACGTACAGAATATAATGGATTTTCTAGTTATTTTTTTTTTAAATGTGGTTGTCAGTTTTTGTTTGTAAGGGTGAATTTCGAGTCTTTTTTTTTTGGTTGTTATTGTTTTGTGTGCTTCTGAATTTTTTATTTTTTTTTATTAGTGTATTTTAGACAATAATTGATATTTTTAGTGGCATGTTGTCAGGATTTCTTTACCGTTTCTCCTTTTTCTGTACGAAAACCCAGCTTAATGCATGCATTCCTGAAATTGAGCAAAGGTGCAAAGAGATCCCAGGGGGACAAAACCGATGCACAACTCACCCCAAGGCCAAGCACACTGAAGACTCCCACATGGTTTAGCAACATGACACATACTGGAGGAAATAGATGAGAAAAAAATGCCCACAGGCTCATTAAAATATTGCAGCTGTGATACCAAAGTCCTTTTATTTTCTATTTTTTTCCCCAGAACAGATGGGTTTCTCTCTGTTGAGTATTTCTTGTTTTGTTGTTGCTCTGCTCTCTAAGCTTCACCCAAATCATCAGGAAAGACTGAAATGCATGACGACTTTTTTCCTGTATCACATTACATTCCCATAGCAAAATTGTCACCAATGACAATGACGCTCCATAATGTAAAAAAAAAAAAAAATCCTGCTTGTGTTCGCTTCGGATTATTTATTTGTTTATTTAATGAGTTTTTGTTGTTGTTTCCTCTTTGAATCTTGGTCCTTGTACCTCAAAAAATGAGAGAGGCGATGTCTTTTCCCACAATTTACTTGGCTGTTGGTTTTCCAAGAGATGGTTGCGACTTTTCATGCTGTTATATGCCAAACTGATTGCTAATGGCCAAGAAAATTATTGCTTTTTGTTTTTTTTTAGTAAAAAATATCTATGTACATTGCTTTGTAGGTTTTTGCTACATGAGTTGGCCTCTGTTGCTGCATTTGCGTTGTTCTGCCTAACAGGGAGGGTTTATTTTCTTGCTCTAGTTTCTGTATCTTCCTCCTTTCTGCTCTTGTTCTGTGTTGGTTTGGACCACCTGCTGCTCTGTGGAGCTCTACTCGATTGTATTTTGTCACCTTTTGTTTGTGCTGGGACTAGTAAGAGAAGATGCTTGCAGAGAAAAATTCTCTGCTCTGGATCACTCGCGGCTGGCCTGTGATGCTAACCTTCCTGCCCTCATCTTATATTTCTACATCTCTGATTTCGTGTCGCTGTTCCCTCAGAAGCTCTTTTTCTGTTTCTTCTTCGTTTTCCTCCAAATCTTCTCCATGCTTTACTCAAAGGGCTGCCTCCTCATCCTCCTCCTCCTCCTCGCCTCTCTGCTCGCTGTCCCCCATCAGTTCTTCCGGAAGCAGAACTCCTGGTCCGATCCCGACCCAATCAGCACGCCTGCACTTTGTCTTTCAAGCCATGCGCCCTTCGTCTCCCCTCCATTTTTTTGGAGGCTATTTAAGCTAGCCTCCATCTTTTGTGTCGTATTTGTAGAGCTTTTAATTTCGGTTTTGCAGAAATGTAAGTCTGTGTGAAGACTGTTTGTGTATTTGCACTGTTAAATCAAGACTCCTCTTTTCTTTTTTTTTGGGATTATCACTTACTCCCTGTGCATTTGAAATCCACCAGCTGAGTTCTTGGTGTTGCACGTAAAGGCCTCTCTATTAATATCATTTCCTCCCTCTTAACACGCCACCTGACCCAAGATCTTTTTTGGAAATAACGAAAGAGGAAAGAATCCTGACACACTCCAACACACACCCTCTCGACTCACCTGAGGGTCGTGACCCCAAGTGTCGACTTTGACTGTATCGGCAAGGGCCTGCCTGTCTTAAAGCCTGTTTAAGGATGTTTTTAAATGGCTGTTATTATTAAGTTTTATTGGTGGAGTGCTTTTTTTTTTCTTTTTTTTTCCATAAAAGGGAGTTCAGATTTTTGTGTGTGTGTGTTTTCTCTTATGGCTATTATTAATATTACTATAACTAGGAGTGTTTTCAGTCTTTCTGAAGAGTATACTTTTTGTCTTTTATGTTCTCCAACCAGATCGTAAAATGATTTATTTTGTTTTACAGAGATTGTCGAGAATATGAGTTACTGAGAGCTATAGTCTGTATCCTGTGGTATTATTAATTAAATGATTAACAAAAACAGAATTATACACATGGACTTAAATAAAATTTCAACATGCTGTTAACCCTGTCTCGTGGTTTGTTGTTCACCAAATCAACCAGGAGGGGGCGGTAAGCATGCAGAATGTGAAGGTTGCATCCTCTTCTTCCTGATCCTTTAGGGTGGATTAGTGAATTTGTTATTGGATCAAATTTCCCCACATGCTTCAAATACAAAAGTGTGACAAAGTATTTGCTCTTTAACAGATTTATTCTACTTTAGCTTTTCCGTCACACTGAAAATGGAGTTTGTCATTAGGCAAAGATGAGCTGTCTTTGTCAAATGCACAATTTGAATTAACTGTAATTAACTTAAAATCTGTGGTGTATATTTTCTAGGCACATAGTGCAATCGAGTTACTATGTTACCTTCAGTTATAGAAATGCTGCATTCATTAAGCATGTATAAAAGAAATTTGACTTTCTAATAGGACAAAATGGTCCTGCTCTTTCTGACAGTGCTTCTTCTTAAGCTGTTTACAACCGTTCTTAAGAGTGTTGGACTGAGAAATCAACCTCGTCCAGCATTACTGTCAGACATATGAATCGAAACTCACTTAAATGGAGCCTGTCTGACAACATGCAGTAGGGTAAAAGACTTTAAAACGAAGCACATTATGGTCCAATCAATAGGACATAATGTAGTGTCCTGGGTCACAGAAGTACTGCGTCTTCCTCACTGCACAACACCAGGATCTTTGATTCCAGGTGAGATCGGGGTACTTTCATTCACCCATAAGAAATAATGAGATAATTAGCTGTATAAAAGAGGATTTTATGCAACGTGCAATCAGAAATTGGAACAAATACAGAGTCACCATTCAGTGCTGGATCGTCAGTCAACATATCTCAGTGTTGATACAGAGAGAAGAGGGGAAAAAATAGCTCTGTATTTATTTACTTTCTAAACTACACTCACTGTAAGCTCCCTTGTCCTTGTATAAACTTATTCATGTGGTTGCAGAACTGGTTACAGATATCCAAGCGGTGGGAGTGTACATGCAAGCGAGATAAAACGACTCCTGGTGAAGTTGTCAAAAAAAGGATACAAAGGATTTCAGATAAAGTTGTGTACAGACAGTTTCAGCTGAAAGTACAAACAGTTTCACCTCACAAGGAGATAATGAACCATACGCTCTGAGGGACTGAACATTTAACACACTGTTACAAAAATAACATGTTCACTTTGTCTTTCTTTTATGTACTGAGTTATTGTGTGGCAGCCAAATCTCTCCATGCTGAAAATGAGAAAAAAAAATAACTCGAGCTCCAGAGCTCACCAAATGTGTTTTTGTTGATTTTCTCATTAAACATGACCGAATGACTTTCTTTGCCCAACTCGATCGTGTTCATTTGGGTTAACAAACAGATCCTGTACTCTGCAAAGTGAGACAGAGCACATCCTAAATTATTATTAAATGTTTTCAACATACATTTCGACACGTCCAAACATATCAGAGCCGTCTCATGTTTCTCCGTAACCCCTCCTTCGGTGGTGAACTTTGAGCCGTGAGAATGCTCTTTTCCCTGGAACGTATCGTACCTGCTTTTCTCATTTTCTGCGGCATGTCTGAGCAAGGCTGCTCCCACTCAGACATTCCTCAAGTGTAAAAGCTACAGCCTGTATCCGTCCTCTTGGAAAAAGAAACAAACAACCAAATGTCAAAAGTATGACTGCGAATGCAAGACAATGCTGGAAATTCAGGTCATCCTGCAGTGAACAGTTGCATGTGTTCTGTGTTTTTTTTTTTTTTTTTTTTTGCAGCACTCTGCGGTTGTTGCACCTCTGCATTGTTTGTTGCATTGAAACACAACAATGTACCACGTCCTGCTGACTCTGTAGTTGATATAGAGAGTTTTCAGGGATGCCAACATGCACATTTTGGAGCTCATACCTCCTCCTGCCCGTTAGACAAATGCACGTCCTGCTCTCCCGGAGAAGAGTATTCCAGCTAAATGTGTGCTAAATTTACGAATACACTGAGTATTCCAAACAGCAATGCAGGATGAGGTCAGTTTGAGGTAGATTTGATAGGATTACAGCTGCAGTGTGAAGCAGAACAAAAGAAAACCTGTAAAGTTGCTGGAAAATGTGCCTCAGAAAGGTATGACACACAATGCCCTTCCCTCCCTGCCGGAACAGAGCCACTTGACAGAGGGACAAGTGTTGCCATTGGCAAAGGAGACGCCAATGGATTGCGAGCTGGTGCTTTATTAACTCGTGTTTACAGCTCTGGTTTGAGCTGTCTTCATCAGACACCAAGGCACACTTTGACTTATTTGTTGGAGTGAAGGTGGAGCACATTCTTTCTGACTCATCAGTTCAGTTTTTCACTCACCTTTTTCCTGAAGCAGCTGCAAAATAGCAGACAATTTAACAATTGCATAGTTGTCAGTCGGTACAAAAGAAAGCACCTTTCAGGAGATTTTAGGAGGAAACCTGTGTGAGAACAGAGGCTCGTTGGATCTGCGTGAGGGAAAGGATGAGCGTGTTTCTGTCCTCCATCCTCCCTCCGTTGGGACTATACACTCTGATCTCACGGTTCCTGCTGAAGAACCCACACTATCTCCACCGGAAGAAGAAAACAGCTTTCTACTGCATTCAAATTTCACACCGAGGAGGTAAGAGGGGGGCTCTGGAGGGCTGCCAGAGGGAGGGATCTGTGATCCACGCTGTGCGATAAGGACCTCAGTGTTTTCCTGAAGACATGTGTGAGTGCGATCAAGGAAATAAATGGTTAAAAATGAAGTATTTTAAAGGCTATTTCATAGGCAGGTGGTAAGTTTGTTTTGCCTTTTTTTTTTGTCAACTGTGCTGCTGCTCAGATTTGGTTTTGACTGTTTTCAGGATCTGGAGAGAAGATAGAAAATACAATGGAGGCGTTCACGAAGTGAGTGCCACTTCAAATTGTAAGAGACAAATGAGCTCTGCCAAAACACTGAGACACAAATATATGCGCACACCTTCACTGGTATTGGCTTAAATATCTTGTTATACTGATGGTTTGTATCTATCAGAAAGCTCCTGGCATGATCTACTTTCATCACACCTCCTGGCAGAGCTGGGAGAGTTAACTTAAATTAGTCAACTTTCTGCCATAAATTAGGCTTTTAAACATAGTCCAGCTATTTTCACTTGCTCAGTTTAATATGATATTCATACTGATCATGAGTGCATGTAAGGTCAGGAGAACGGCCGGTGTTCATGTTTAGGTCAGTCCTTTCAGCGTGGATCAGTGCTTCGCCCTCAAATATCAGACATGTCCCTCCTTACAGAAGCTTTTCTCTCTGTTATCAGTGCGGTGGAAAACGGCTCACAGATGCTGGAGATGGACTGCCACCTGACAAAGGATGGACACGTGGTGGTTTCTCACGACGAGAACCTGAAGAGGCAGACCGGCATGGACAAAGACATCTCCTCACTCAATCTGGAGGTAAGACAAGCCACTTCCTGCCTTTATTGACTGCTCACACTAAAGAAGTGGTTGATGTTCATTTGAAACATACTTTCATTTCACGGTTAGTTTTTTTCAGGCTTTATGAAGGGCTTTCAGCATTGATCTTTAGACTTTGACTCCTGTTTCGACTGATTTCATGTCTTATTGCTGTACAAGCTGACGACTGTGTGTTTGCAATAACCGTAAAAAGGATGTTTGGATATAAATCCACCAATGCATACAGTCTGAGCTTTATGAAGACAAAGCACACCAACTGCATTATGTCTTACTACTGTGCTGCCAAACAATACACAAAAATGGCATTCGATCTGAATGTGAATCATAAATGAATCCATCATTGATGCTCCAATGAAACAAAAAGAGGAAAAAAAAATTGTTTAAATCACAAAAGTTGCAACGACAATCCTAGTTTCAGTTTCAGGAATCTGTAAAATTTTTCAACTAGAACTTATTCTAGTTGAAAAACTAGAATAGTTTATAATAATAATAATAGAGAATATGATATTTTCCCATTACCCTTATGCATTGTACCACTGGCAACGAAAACATCCCACAGCATAATGCTGCCACCATCCTGCTTATCGGTTTTGAAGTTGTCTCAGGTTTAAAAAAAAGTAGGAAACCAGACTGCAGGGAGTCAAAAGTCTAACAAAAAATATCTGCAGCAGAAAATATCATCTAAAACTTTTTACAATTACAGTTCCTGAGCGAATTGTTATCAAAAGACCTTGGAATAATAAAAACCAAGAGTACATTAAATATGGCATGAAAGTCTGTGTGTTAGCAACAAGATGCAAAGAAATAAGGAATGATTTGAGAGTGAAATAAGAGGGAGGCCATCAGGCTTTATTTCGGGTTGATTGGTGGGTTTTGTGAACACGCCTCTGAGCTAACGAGTCTTTGAGCTCAAACATCCCAGTGAACTGATGTTTTATTTATCTTAAGAAAATAATCTGTTTGCTTAAGTGCTGGAACGCTTTCAGGAAAAAGTTCACATCCTGGTAAGTTGCAGACACTAACAGGTCTGGAAGGTAACTAATGTAACCAAAAATATATGTAAATAAATGCAAATATTTTAGCTTAATTAACATTGAGATGACTGTTTTCGGAACTAAAGTTTTTTTTATTATTATTATTGTTTCAGGAGTTGCCTCTGTACAAGGAAAGGCTGGAGGTGGAATTCAATGCAGGCCAGTTCCTTCTCTCTTGTTTAGATTATTAATCATTACTGAAAATGTGTTTAGTGAAGGTATTGGTGTGGGGAGTGTGTGTTTGTTTAATACCCACTAACTTTTCGCATCGCACTACCCTTCAGGCCACGAGAACAAAAGTGGTACAGACAGGAAGATTGCTCTGCTAGAAGATGTGTTCAGGAAATTCCCAAAGATCCCCGTCAGCATCGAGATCAAGGTGGACAACCCACAGCTGATGCGAGAGGTGCAGAAACACTCCGACTCCGTATAATGCAGATAAAAGAAACACAAGCATGTCTTGCCCAAAATTAATTTAGGAGTGTCCAAGTAAAGGGGAAAAGGTCTTTGAACAGATATTTACTTTAAAAATGAATAATATGAATAATTTTCCCTCTGCATCACAATTTTTGCACTTTTTCTTTACCTCTAAGGGTTTATTTCCAAAGCGTTTTTTTTTTTTTTTTGTGGCTCCTATGCTGATGTTTGTGGTGATCATTTGCTTGTTTTTTAGTTGTTGTTGTTTTGTTGTTTGTTTTTTTGTCGAAAATACGGTTTGGAAGGAGACTGTACTGCCTGGAAGTTGATGTACGTGGTTTTCATCACGATCATGTCTGCCTGCAGGTGTCAGCCCTGGTTAAACGCTACGACAGGGAGAGCATCACTTTGTGGGCTTCCGAGGACGCCAAAATCCTGAACAAGTGTCGCAGTGTCGTAAGTTGACCGGCAGAGGGAGATAGAGTCCCAAACAAAAACCCCTCACCGCACGTTCACGCACTGAGACGCAGATTCGCCTTTTGGTCGGTTGTGCCTTTACGAGCTTTTAGCGTGTGTTTTTCATTTCTCTGTTGTCTCGCCTCCACGTTTCAAAACCTCTGTCTGCGTTTCTGTGCAGAACGGCTCTATGCCCTACAGTTTCTCCAAGCAACGCGGCGTCCTGCTCCTGCTTCTCTATTACACGGGCCTGCTGCCCTTTGTCCCTGTGGGAGAGAGCGTGCTGCAGTTCTACCTGCCACGCATCATCAACAGGTCTGTTTGCAGAGCCTGTTCACCCTGTAAGAAACCTAGTTCTGGTTATAAAGACCGAGCTCTGTGCAGTAAGGTGCTCACATCTGATTATGATTTCAGCACAATTCCTCTTTATATGAAAAATAAAAAATATATATTCACAAATAATCTGTTTGTTTATTTCAGTCATTCACTTTAAACTGTTAATGAGTGAAATAAACAGATAAATGAGCATTTCAGAGTGGTGTTCAATGTCTTTCTTGTGCACTGACAGGACCTACAAACCCGAAAAACCCGAAATCCTGAAGAAAAGCTGGGTCGTTTCTTTAATAGATAAGTAAGTCCGACTTTTGACTGTCTGTGTCATTTACCAGGAGGAAACTCTTCAAGGCCCGACTGGAAATATGGAATCATATTTCTTGTTTCTATTCCATTGAAGCCTTTTCTCCTTTTAATGTTTCCAGAATAACAATGAGAACAAACCTTTTCAAGCACCTTGCAGAGCGTGGGATACAGGTACCACCTTAAGGTTTATTCTAGTACCGTTGCTTAGTACTGACAAGTTTCACATGACAAAACATTAACCACTGTGATATGGCTCGGCGCTTCCTGGGAGATTACTCTGGGTTTGCGCTTGCCCAAGTATTTATAGACCAGAGGCAGGAACCTGCTTCCTCCATGTCTCCTTCATTGGATCAATAATGATCCAAACTGAATTGAAATGTATTGAGACACTTTTACAGTTTCCGCTGTGTGAAACACGCTTGACTGAGTGGATACTAACGGTGTCCGTGTTTGCAACTGTAGGTTCATTTATTTGTTTGCAATAAAAATGAAGACATCAAGGCTGCGTTTGACCTGGGAGCCACAGGAGTCATGACTGATTATCCAACTCTGCTCTCTACCTACGTCAAAACACACGTGGGAGTGGTCGATCCCGACAGCAGCAGCACTCCAGAAGAGGAACACCAAAGACTAAAACAGACATAGCCAGACCAAGAGGGGAATCCATGCGTCCAAACTGAACAAGATGAGTTCGCTGCCAAACACCGAGCTGATAGGACAATAGTTTCATTCACTTCTCCAATCACAGATGGATCCATCCCTGCCGACAGTGTGATCATGTCTGCTGTATGTATTCAGTCAGGTCAGTATGTAAAGAAACAGTTGATGAGCTTTGTCAGCAGTGAATGTTTAACTGCTGAGAAAGCAGTCAAACAACCCACCGGACAACCCATGATAAGACACTAAACAAACATGACTTTGTTTTGACGGGCTACTTTCTGACATTATTGATTGGTTTAGGGTGAATATTTTGTGTTTTTAGATAAACTAAAGATAAAGAAATTGTGCTTTAGACTGCGTCAAAAAAGTGTTCGTACTCCCTGAACCACAAGCTTTTATGTGTTTGCGGGGATTTTATGTATTTAGCCACAGGTTCTCAGTTGGATTTAAGTCTTCACCTTGACCATTCTTGAATGAAAAGTAGTCATCTGGAAAAGTACTTGTAAAAAACTTACTCAAGTACTGAGTAGGTACTTAAGTAGCTGCTCATAAGATCTAATTTTATTTGTACAAAATGATTCAATCAGGGAGATGATTGCCTAACCCTGGTCGGAGCGTCTGCACAGCTTTCTTCCTGACCTGTCAGCTATGCTGCTTGGTTTTCGTCAGGATATTTGCTCACTAATGTTCTCTAACAAACCTCTGATGCTTTCACAGAGCCACAGGATTTACACAGAGAGATTGAGTTACACACAGGTGAACTATGTTCACTAATTATGTATCAAATTAAAGAGGGATAAATAACAATGCACATCACACTTTTCAGATTATTGTTTGCCAAAAATGATGAGAACAGTATAATAGTTTTCTTTAACTTCACAACTCCTTTTGTGTTGTTCTGTAAATTACTTGGGAAAAAGAAACAAAAAAATCAAAGTTAAAAAATGTGAAACTGTTCAAGAGGGTTGAATACTTTTCAAGAAAACGGACATGTGCATGCACACACACATGATAACAGCTTACTGTTATCATCTGTGTTTTGTCAATTTATGTTGCCTAATGCTTACCAGGTGCAATGGATCTCACTCGCATCTCTGTTTTTCTTGGCAGCTGTGACCAAAGTCTGGCCACACTGCAACGATGACAATCAATCAGTCTGTTGATGAAACACAGGCTGGACTTTTCTGAACTGATCGGCAGTTCCCTGTGCTGATCAGTGTGACAGCAGAGTTAAACTGATATAAAGCTGTAAATCTAGCTTTTTGTCACATTGGTTCATATGGGAGCAGGTTTGAATCAGAGAATATGTCTATGAAATAATGTCATTTGTAATATCTTTCGGAATCAAGTGTTGTGGTCATGCTCTTCTAAATCATTTGTCATGTCACATGTCCAGGCCTTTAACTGGTGGTCAGCTGAACAACAGAAACTGTATGACGCCCCAAAGCCTGGTGGTAGAAATGTTTGACTCAGAAATTAAATATAATCATTTCTTTGAAATAATAAAACTATGATTATGCTTGTAATCATAGTTCAGGAAGGGATTTTCAAATGGGTCTGAAAGGGGTAATGTAAATAAAATAAAATTTAATTAAAATTAAAACAATCTGGTTTCCTGTATCTTGACATTTTAAGATTTCTTTTGAAATGATGAAAATTGACAAGCAATGAAAGACATAAAGCTGTGTCCTGTTTATGCCCAATGTGGCCTGATATGCCACACAGTTCAGCCTTTGAATTTTTTCTTTGTTCTGTTTAATTCAGAGTCAATTTAGGAAAAATCACAGAAAGAGTAAAATTCCCTGGACAACACAAGCAACCAAAATCTAAAATGGCTACCATTTTTTTCCAGATAGCTTGAACATGTCATTGTTCTATATTTATTTCTGGTTTAATGTCAGAAATGCTAATGAAAAGTTTATTCCTCCACCTTTCACTCTGTTTTTTATGTGTGGCCACCATATTGGATACTGAACTCAGGGCTGTTTGGCGAACTCTGGGTTTCCCTGTCATGTATCTGACTCCAGGGGACATTCTTGTTCTGTTTCCAACAGGTAACTTGGAAAGTTTGTCTTTTGAGCACAAAGAAATTGGAGCTTATCAAGCAGCTACAAGATATTGTATTCGGCATAGCAGTCGATCATATAGAACGTAGGTAATGTTGCCATTAAAAAAAACTCTAACATTGATCAAATGTCAACTCTGTAACATACACTTTACAATATTTAGAAATATGACTCTATTTACATTGTTTTGTCATCTTTTGATATATATATTTATATATATATACACACACACACACAACCATGATTATTTTGAGCTATACTGGTCCATAAAACCTTGCCTTCCTTATAAAAGTCATGAAAGTAAGTGAAGAACTGTCGAGGAGTGGAAAAAAATCGGACTCTTTACAATCAAAAGAGCCACAACATCTGAATCCTGGAAAAAACTGTCGGACTTCCCACCACTAAAGCCAACCCAACATTTATGAAACTGGATCAAAAAGCAGGCCTATTGATAGCCATAAAAGGCTCCCATGAAGCCTAAGCTGATTGGTTGACCCACATTCTAAACGTCAGCCGGGAGCTGTGATTGGTTGACGGAGGTTTGTTTTGCACCCTTCACCCTTCCTCCATCTGCGTGCTTCATAAACAAAACAGCATTTTTGTTCCGCTGGGGAACGCGTTGCCCTCTGGTTTGTCAGCCTGCCAGTATTGTCAGATCTCCGGCTCCTGTTTTTGAAAAGGCTGTGGAAGAACTTTGTTGTTGAGTCAGAACAGAAACGCGGGCTCTGCTACAACAAAAACAATCTGAGCTGGGGGGATTTTTCTCCCCAACCGTCGGCGCGTGGAGGACTACAGCACCGAGGCGAGCTAAAGGCTGGATTTCTCTCAGTCTTAACATTTGCTTTTTTCTTCAATTATTAAACTGCCGGCCACTAAGGGCCGTTTTGTATACTTTGAACAGCTTCAGTTTTAGCAGGTGAGTGGAAACAAAAGGAAACATTTCTTCCATCTTCGCTGCAGTGCCGACTTTGCGCAGCTAGCATGCTAGTGCTGTCCTTTGTAACAGTCATGTTTTTTGGCCCTTTTAGCAGCTCGTGTAGACGATTATCAACGTGGGAAAAGCTCTGCTCGTTAAAATGCGGCTTAAACGGTGTCCTAATCGAGCCACAGCCTGATCGTGCAAATTGTTTTGAAGCAGGAAGTAGTCAGGCTGAACTATGTCTTCGCCTGCTTTGTCTTTGTGATATGAGATTATACAACTCACTGCTAATTGTATGCAAATGTTGTCGGGCGCTTTTTTCTTCGGTAAAACAAAAATAAACTTCCCCTTTGTAAGAAAACGAGACCAAGAACATATTAAAATTGAAAAACCGCCATTTCCTTAAGTTGAAGTGATCAGGGAGCTTGGATATCTAAATATCTAAAGATGGAACTTTACCGTTTCTCCCTCGTTTGCTCTGAAACTTCTGTCTCTGTCAAAGGACCTGCAGTATATATTGTTTTCTCTTTTTTATGATACGATTTTTGGAACTAAAAGACGGAGTTTATCAAAATCGCCAGAGAAAATTTAAAATCAATGTAGGCCAAGAACAGCTTGATCGATGCATTTGTAGCTCAGATAATAACCACATATTCACTGATCAGGCTTGTCCGTCAGATCGAAATATTTTCCTTTCGATCTGAGATGCAGACACTGATTAGGACTACAACACATCGGACTAGAACTACACTGCTGGTTTTATTTTTAAAAAATTATATAAATATACATTTTTGAGTGTAGCAGAAAATGAAGGAATTGCGATATTATTATTGAAACAACGATCCTTCATATTCATCAGATATTTATTCCAAAAGTGCATTAAAGAACATGTTGTCATTTGGTGATGTGTTCACAGTCTGCAAAGTGGAATTGGAATTACTGGTTTTTGTTCTGCTGATCAAATCAAAGGGAAATTCTGCTATCCAGACGATTGGAGATGCACCAATTAATCACCTAGTCTTTTACTTCTAAGTTCTAAATGATGACAAACTCGTCAAGTGGTGAAAAAGTTTGGGTGCAGAGGTTTGTTTTGTTCTTGTTGCTCTATACTAAACGCAACAAAGTGAAGAACTTCCATTATTCATCTCCAAGTGACACCTGCGTGTATACCAGGAAGGCGTACTGGCCAGGACAAACCTGATCGGTGTATATCGAGGTCAGACGTTTTCTGCAGGTCCAGAACTTCGAGCCAAATATAATTGTACATCTTTAATGAGCTGCGTGCAGTAGCGACCAGATCTGTTTGTGTTCAAAATGTGACTCTCCTTAGTGATCTGACCTGAATTCTGTTCAACCGAGTGAAATCCAAAGCAGTTTTTCCTGGATTATCGTACACATTAATGCAACATGTGCTCTCTGTCTTTTTCCTGTACAGACATGGTGAAGCTGACAAAAGCCAAGACCTTCCAGGCCTACCTGGACTCTTGCCACCGCCGTTACAGCTGTGTGCACTGCCGCGCCCATCTGGCAAACCATGACGATCTTATCTCAAAGGTAAACATGCTGCCATGCCTCTGTTGTAATGGTTATTTTGAGTGCTTTACTTCATATGTGGCCTAGTTTTTCTCTTATGTATTAAAAATAGAAAAATTAGCAAGAAACTGGTGTTCTTTTTATTCTTCATTTCATGCGTGTATTTTTTTTTTCCCCCTATTACTTTCAGTCATTTCAAGGCAGCCAAGGCCGAGCGTACCTCTTTAACTCAGTGTGAGTATTCTGGATGTGACCACAAGTTTCATAAGAGATTTGTTTATGTAATCATGAGTTTCTTTTTGTTATCACTTCCTCAAATGTCCTCTTTGAAACACTTGGAAATCTTTGACCTTTTTTTCCAAAGCATGCAGTTTCTAAAATGTTCTTTCCATCTGAACATACTGCTGAGAGCAAATGTGCTTACACTAACCATCCTGTCAACAGATAACTAGGTTGGTTTTTATTCCTTCTGATTGGACCTCAAAGTTTGGTCAGTTCACTTTGGTTATACTTGATTTTTTTTTAGATTAGAGAGTCAGCAATAAACTGAAATAGAAGCAAGTCCATTAAATAACATTCGATACATATATATTTTTAAAAAAAAGAAAAGAAATGTCCTGGTATGTGCTTTCTTTTTATGTTCTGTAAAATTCTCCCATGAAAAGACAACAGTAGCTGTGGGAGGAAGCTGACTGTGCTGTTGAGGAAAGAAGTAGTGAAATCATCTGATCTGGGACATCGCTGTTGATTTCAGGGTTAATGTTGGCTGCGGTCCGGCTGAGGAGAGGCTGCTGCTTACAGGACTCCACGCAGTGGCCGACATTTACTGTGAAAACTGTCACACCACTCTGGGCTGGAAATATGTACGTAACTCTTACAGTACATCCAGTAGTTCTTTACAATTACAAAGACATTTCTCACTGTCTTCCAGGTTCATGCAGAAAAACATTCAAATGAAAAGAAATGACAATTTAGATAACTGTTCATGCTCCTTGCACATTCTCTCACTTTACAAACACAAATTTATGTGATAATTTGATTTTATGTGATCAACTAAAGAGTAAAGGTTGCATGATTTGAAATGTTACTTGCACATAAAAGTTAGAAACAATGTGTCATGGAGACAGAAGTCATTTTTAATTGAGAGCATCTGTAAACTCCCAATTTCAAGTCTTCCAGTGGTTTCTCCAACATAAATATGTCTGGACTTTAACTAGGTCATTCTATCAGGCCTGTATAACAGTCAAGACTTTTCACCTGTAGTATTGACTTCCTGTGATCACCAGCAGACAAGCTGTTCCTTTCACAAATAAAAAGCCTGCTAGACTAGTTTGTTCCAACCATGCAGCACATTGTTAGACTTTTATACCCTCCTTTTTCTCACCCATCTCTTCTAAGCCTCATGAGCTCTAACTGGTCAGTTCATAATTACTCTGAGGCTTATACACTAATTTCTTCCCATGCGTTCTTGCAATGGTAACACTGTTCAGTAGAAGTGGAAACTGGGAGAGCTGGTATTTGTTTCCTGTGACAGAGTTCCTCTGTTTGCTGTAATCCTTGGACTTTAAAACGCTGCAGGTCATTTCAGACACCATAAAATCCTGGAAGACACAAACAGGTTTTTTCTGTTTTTGGAAATGTGCAAAGTAGGAACAACTTTACAGAAACAACAGCATTTATAAACATCTCTTGTTGCAGGGAAAAAAATGTAAAAAGAAATTAAAAGTTGAGGCATTTTAGTTTGTAAAAATGTTCAAAAAATAATCGTCTAAGCTACTTCGCTTTGATTCTGTCATGTATTTTTGAAGAATCCTTGAATCTCTGGTGGCAACCGAAACACTTTCTCTCACAAAGCTTTACCCAAAACTCTTCCTCAGACTTGCAGTCTGCAGCCGAGTGTCAGAGAGCGCTCCTCCCCAAGCAGCCCCTCCAGACTAGCAGCAGCAGGCAGCACTTAGCAAATAGCGAGTGGAACATGTGTTGCTTTCTGAGGTCTTTTGCTTGGTTTTTGTAATCAGCCAGGTTTCAACTATTTCAACACTAGCTGAAAACAAGTTTTAACAGATTAAGTCACTTATACCTTGGTTGTTTAAAAAAAACCCTGAAGATGTTCTCTTCATTAAAACTTTGTGTCTTTCCTCTAGGAGCAAGCCTTCGAACTCAGCCAGAAGTACAAGGAGGGGAAGTACATCATAGAGCTGTCCCATATGATAAAGGACAACGGCTGGGATTGAAATGGAAAATCGCTATGTTTCTTCGTGACTTTTTAAAAAGGAAAAAAAAGCTAGTTGCATCCCCTCGACGTGAAAGGGTTCAAGTGTATCGTCCTCATCTCGCCTTTGAGCCACTGCTGTGCCACACTTTTACTTCGTGCAGCTTTTGCCAAGAATAGCATGTGATGCCTTATTTTCGTCTACTTTTTATGTCCCCCCCGCCACCACCAACACACTTAACTGAGATCGTTATCACGATTGATTGGTTGTTCTGGGACGGACTTAAGTGTCTGGCTTCTTCTGTGTGTGGAGAGAGAGTGGGTGATTGGTTACATGGAAAACCGGGTGTGAGATGGATTTTAAAGCCTTTTAATGCAAGAAAGATCAAACGTTTACAGTGATCACTAAACCCTGTCACTGTGAAATTGCAAGGCCAATCAAAGCTAAAGAGCTTGACCATTGATAATTAGATTTTCTTCTTTTGAGCTAAAGGTGCAGGTTTTGATGTATTTTGCCTAATTAGAATTAAGTTTCAATATTTGTTTCAATGGTAGAGCTTCTTTGAGTTAAATATACAAGGAGGACATGGGAATACATAGAGCAGCAGGCGAGCTCTTTGTTTTTTTTTTTGTTTTGTTTTTTATTGTTATTAATTTGTGTTTTTTAATTATTTTAGAGTCAATATGGCAATTGGTATGTTGAGTTAGTTATAAGGCCAACAGAAATCTTCTGCAAGAATTCTTCAATCTGTAGTGAGTCTTCTGTTCACAGGTGTAACTTTTTGGATGCGTGTCCTGTTTGCAGTGAGGCATCTTGAGCTGGATGGTGTTGTGATGCATTAGTCTGGAACTGATTTGTATTTCTAGATTTCTTTTCACTGCACACTTGGGATGGCTTTACTTCCTTTCAACGCTAATGAGACCTATATTCTTTATACGTTCGCGCATTACCTAACACTGAGCAGTTCCTATCGACACATTAGCTTCACTGTGTTAATGCAAATTGTGGTTAGGATAGATGTAGCATATTTATGGTGATTTTTTTTTTTAAGTGTCTGTTTTCATTAAAGTGGTTTTTATTTTAACCTGGTCTTTCATTAAAATACATATTGGCTGTAGATTTTTGGGATCGAGTCGTCTTTTGTTGCTGCAAGTAAGTGTGTCGTATGACTTCTGGTTACGCTTCTTTATGTAGTTTAATTAATACTCTGCCAGTTACTGAGTCAGTGTCTCCTCATGTCCTGAAAATAGCTTGGCACTTTATTATATTTTGGACATGATTTAGATATATACTATTAATATTCTAGATGTACTTTTTCATACTTGATTGATAAGATGCACAACACTTTAAAGAATTCATGAACATTTAAACATTGTGACGCATTACAACCACAAACATGAATGTGTTTTTATGTGGCGAACTAGCACAAAGTTATCTTAAGCTGAAGTATAAGGGTGGAGAAAGTCGGTTGTTGCAGCTAAAATATGGAAAAATTCCTGGGGTTTAAATACTTTGGAAAGGTACTTTATGTACTAATGGGCTGAAAGGAGCAGGCTGAGCCAGCAGCTTCTTTCTGCTGCGCCTCTGCCTCACACACATGCTCCTGAACAGCTGCTTGCATTTCAGCTGCGGCTCACTTTGACTGATTAAAGCCTCACTATCAATTTAGCAGGAGTCTTAAACCATGGTGACTCTTTCCATAGGTCTGCTGGGATATTGGCTTAAAAGAATAACATAATAACCAATAGGGTTGACCACATAAATTTGCTGCAGAAACAGATGACTAATATCAGCCGATATCAATATTTGTGTGTATGCAGGGGTTTGTTTACCGTTGCACGCTGAGAAGTTCTTGGCTACAATAAGTCAGATGTTTGCATAAGATATATGCTGAACTCAAAATGAAAGTGAAAATATCAGGGAGGTGCAGGCTGTCAGACATGTTAAAACCACACTTAGTTTTGCACTCCTTTCTAATGCAGGAGTGTGTGAAGGACAATTTCAAATCCATTTGCAGAGCCGTTCTGACTGCAGACTGCAGTTCAAGAATAGCACAAATTTGGCCTGGTGGCACAATAGAAAACTAAATGAACAAAAAAGGGACTACAATTCAATATTTAATACAGAATATTGAATTTTGTATCACTAAAAAAGTCAAATTTAATTGGTCCTCAAGTCCTTAAGAATTGATATTTTGGATCATGTATAAAAATGTTTAAACACCACTGTTCTACAAATAGAAAAAGGTCTGTTATGACAACAGATTAACTACTTTTATGGCAATGCCGTTTGTAAACAGTCTGAATTACAGAAATGTAATCTTGTATTTGAGATTTTAAAACATGGCTGTCCAGAAGATGGCGATGTTCGTCTCGGCCTTCCTGTAGGCCACAGCCCCTGTTTCATGAGCATGAAGTGAATATTGGCACAATTTTAAACAAAAGATGCTTTAACAACGTTAAATGCTTACACACGAAGACATTCAGTCATTCAGCTTTATTTTGCTGATTGGTTATTTGATGCTTAAGTATGTCATCTATTTTTTTGAGTATTACATTTTCAAATTATTTAACAACTTATCTTTGAAGGTAAAACATTCTTCTAATGAATAAAATAATGGTTTTCCTTCCTTCTTGTTAAACATTTTATTTTAGAATATCAAAGAGCAAAGTTTGCAAATGGCAAAGACTGCAATCTTATGCTTTGAGCAGGAACTGGTCACATGAGAGAGCTCTGAAACTGACCGTACATTTCTTTCCCATGTGATAGAGGGGCTACTGACTGTCATGAGTGTTCTACATTTTCTGCAGCCCCTCTTTCACATTTCATTCTTAAAAATTGTTGTGGAAGTACAATCACGAGATAACTTGGGTCAATTTCAAAATAGTTCAAAGTTCTGTTAGACATTTTCTTTTTACTCCTGAAAGTCTGGTAATTCATCGAGAAGAAACAAAGGCCTCAATTCTGTTAACAGGTTCTATAGAATTATTCAGAAATTAAAATAAGACATTATATCCAGTCTACACTTACAAATAGAGTAGAGGACAAAAAAGTCTCACAAAAGCACTCTTGTAGCACAAATTCTTTGAAGGCTAAATAAGTTGCAGAATAACTCAATCAATAATCAAAGCCTTTAAAATGAGATAAATGCCTGAAGCTGTTGTTTTCAGTTCAAAGGTGAAGCTAAGGTGCTCTTCTGTGCAAAAGTGTTCCTGTTTGCCTGGGCTTGTAATACCACGTATGGTTTTAATGGAGGTTTTATCTTAAACTGTAATCTAAACTGTAATCTTATTGCTCTGACAGAATATATGCCAGAATTTAGAAGGGTAGGAAGTTTTACACAAATCTGTCTTGTAGGCATGTTGTTATGTCTTTCCAATATTAAACATATTTATTCTCCAGGTAAACGGTGCTTGGCTAGTCATTCGAATTACATGGAGACTGATCAAATTGTAAAACAAATATACATTTTTGAGAAGGCTTCATTTTGCAGGAATTAGGTGTGGAGTGGAACTGGGGATTGAGTTAAAAGACAAACAATTACACACGTTTAATGTGCCAATAGATATGAAGAAGTGTTTTAAAATAAACTAACAAGCTAGAGATGTATGACTTTTAATGTTTTTTTCGTTTACCTTTATTTATTTTCATATGACTTTTTACACCATCTCAGGATCTAATGCAAATTTCACAAAACACTGTCAATGAAACCTGCTAACTTTAAGACATGACCTTACTGGAGAGGAAGACCTCTTTGACAGGAAACACCAAAAGACACAAGAATACCGTAAAAATGAAATATTCAAAGTTTTGTCAAATGAGAGCATTAAATGACGAAGTGATACATCAGAAATATTCATCTTCACTGGAGTGTCACCTTGACTCAAACACCTCAGGGCTCTGCTTCTAGTCCCCGAGACCGAGAAAACCATTCAATCATAGGACACAGCAGTTGGTTTTCCGTGATAAATTATAGAGAGCGGTCGCCGTTTGTTGTCGGGTTTTTAGTGAACATTTGGTACTAATAATTAATACGCCAGCGTGCAGTGACGACTGGTTTCAGCTGCAGTCAGTGCACTTGCAGCAGAACGTACCACTAAACAAAATGAACACCAATTCATTCACTTAACAACACCAGCAACAGCGGCCATAAGAGATTTACTTCAAACGCTATTCAAAATTGGACTATTTTACATACGTTTGAGCATTAAATATGAATCGACGGGTGAGATTTTCACAGTTGTTAGTCGGACACACCCGCCTCAGCGCAGTTGGATCCCTCCGCCATGGCTGGTCATGTGACTTTTTCCGTTTCGCCATTTTCCTCTTCTCCACTGGAGCGGTCGCTGGTCTTCCTCGCTGTTTCGCGGTGTTTTAAGCTGCCCAGAGGTGACGGTGGGACAGGGGAACCCCCCGCCAAAGAAAGAGAGGATATTGTGCCGTCTAGCTTTGTCGTCCGAAGGGAAGAGTGACAATGTCTTCTGAGGAGAGCCCCGAGTACTCACCTTTCTTCGCCGTGATGGGAGCCTCTGCGGCCATGGTCTTCAGCGGTAACTAAACCAGCCTCTTCTCCTCCTCCTCAAATTGACACCTTTTTGTTTCATGCTAGCTTAGCCGGGTGTCGAAGGCTGAAATCAGAAACCAGCGCTGCCTTCACACAAACCGTGTCGTGTCGCTGGCTGCTGGTTTTTGGTGGCGGTCGGGACTCGCGCACCTGTCGGGGACGATGCGAGGCAGAGGCGGGGTAAAGACTGCTGCTGCTGCAGCGGCGGACAGTCGGAGCAAGCTGCCTGCTTCTGCTCCGGCGGAGCCAGTGGCATTAAATTCAGGCTGTAATCGGGTCTGCTGCTGACTGGTGACGCACACAGTCGGTGAGGTGGCAGCTTCTCTTCCTCAGCACATGACATGCAACGAACCATGATTGAATGAATTAAAACAGAAACGGACGGGATGTTAGTGGTTAATCTTGTCGGTCCTTTTCTTGGTTTTCGTTGTTGAAGGTGAGTCAGGAAAGGAACATGGAGGCCTTAACATCACAGCGACAATTTAAAGGGATGATCCATTCATTCAGTCATTCATTCATTCATCTTGCACAGTCTTCTGTGCATGCGCAGTAAACTATTTCCACTTTGAACACGAAGCCGATTGAGTTGAGAAAATGTGAAGGAATACGATCTAATTCAGTGGGTTTGACTCCAGCTAAAGTAAACACTTCTTTCATCAATGATGAGTGAAGACGTGAGGTATTAACAGCTCATTTAATACAATGATAGTTTCAACTTTAATGTACCAACAGTAGACATTGGGAATCATTTAAAAGATAAATTTGTCAGTGTTATCTTATCCAATTATAATTATCAGGTCCCATAAGTTCATTTTACACACAAAGAAGATAGTAGCCTGATAATGTCTTTTCTAATTTTTTATTTTATTTTTTTACTAATACTACAGATTTTCTTTAGCAGCCAGAAAAATCAGAATTTTTTTTTTTTTACTTGCCCAGATCTTACTGTTGTTCTCAACACATAAAATTCAATAAACGTCCTGAGCCCAGCTGCAATTGACTGAATTTTTACCCATCAGCCTGGTCAAGGAGCAGCGAGGATACTGTTTTAATTAGCTTTATGCTGTTTGAACTTCAGAGCGCTTCCTGCCTGAGTGATGTTGTTCTTGCAGAGGGTTGCAGGATCGACGCTACGGAGGAACAAACCATCAAGTTATTGTTTTGGCACACACTCGATTACAGCGCTGGTAGCCTAATAAGTCAGACTGGTTGGTTTCCTCATCAGACAGACAAAGCGGGCCACAGAGAACGAAAACGTCCGCTTTCCTGCTCACCATAAGCGGTCAGGCAGCTGGAGGGAGAGGGTGTAGTTTTTCTCTGCACTAGTGAGGACAAAACATCTTCAAAAAGCCTTTTTTGTGCATTTGTTAATTTCAAAACAGCTACCGCCAACCCCTGGTGCTCTTTGTTAGTTTAAATAGACCTGCTTTTTATGTCTGAGACAATGCATTTGGAGGAGGATAAAATAAACACGATACTACTACTGTGGTAATTATGGAGGAAGGGAAAAACTTTGAGTGTTCATGAATTTAGTATGTTTAGTAGACTGATCAAAAGTGTTTTTCTTAAGTTACAATAAGACACATTTCAGTGGGATACATCCAAAATCTTCCATTTGATTAGCTAAAGCTTCAAACACTTGCAGTCAAATTACCAGATGAGGGAGTTTCACTGAATATTTATTCCATTTGGACATAACTCGAACATTTAAATGAGGAACTGAATTGTCTAGACTGAGTTTACAGCCTGTTTTCTAGGCCAAAATAAAAAGAAGCTGTTCTCCTTTTTTTTTTTTGATATATATATATATATATATATATATATATATATATATATATATATATATATATATATATGGCTTAAGACATTATCTAACAGACTAATTTTTTTTTTTAATGTCTCATCTTCAAGCAAATCAAGCTATACCAAAAACAACTTTAACTGATGATTATGTTGCCAATGAATGAATGAGATGACTCACCAACCATGTAAAGGATATTTTTTCACTTATTTGGACATACATGAACGTGAAACCAAGACTAGCAGCTGAAACTGCTTTTGTAGGGACGACACAGCCAGTGTTGTTCACCATTTACATGACTGACGCACAAACAGCAGGAAAACATCTATTGTCATGTATGCAGGCTAAAGTCCTCCCACTTTGAGTGTTAAATAACTTAACGAAACATTTAACTATGTTAAATACAATTTATGTGTTTGGAAAATAAACCTGCCTATGATTCTACCAGTTATAAATAAAATATTTTGCTCCAAATTCCGAAACAAGCAACAGCACAGCTTTTATTCGACATTTATTGTGTTGCTGCAAGATTTGTGACATGTGTATTATAAACCTGATGATGTTTAAAGCATTGTCATGATAAGTTATAAAAAAGGTAATCCTCTACCTCAGTATGAAGACTGCATAAAGAGTTGGACCAGTTAGCATCATCATTTCTGAGATGACTGAAGTCCAAACTTAAAGTTTTCACATGCATCACCTTGATACTTTTTTTGCTGCACTTACAACAAATTAGACGTTCTACTTGATATTACATCCCTCACTGGGGCTGTGCTGAGTTGTTTTTGTTTCTGTGAGAACCAGCTGGATTTATATTTCTATAAATCAAAATAAACCCAGGTGCCAGAAAGTGAAGTGAATAGTGTGCATCACTTAAGTAAAGTTTGTTCGCTGGCTGACACTAAACATAAAAAGCAGATATCACATATCCTGCTTTTATTTTTATTTTTTAATTGTTTCGGTTCACTTTGTAAGAGCCATTCAGCCAAATGCGGTTCCATTTGAGATCCAAGCTTTTCTTGAGTATTTATTTGGTTTGCAAATCATAATTATTGCAAACTGAACTTCCTGAATTATTCTGTAATAACAAAGTTGCATGCAGTGATGAGTAGTTGTCTTGACCTGATCTGTGCTCTGCCGCCCTGAGCGGCGGGATTAGATGAATCTGTGATGTGAGCGGCACAGCGACAGATGTGCAGATGTGAGGAGCAGCGCTTTGATCTGCGACGCTTCCTGGCTGAAAATACATGTTTCTGTTCTGATTAAAGGCCCCAGCCTCAGAGGACACTCACCTTGTACGGATTAATTGTTTTAGGTTTCATATGTATTCCGTCAAACGTCAGCATGTTGGACCAGCGTGATGAGACTTTATTAAAACACGGAGTGACGCAGGCTCAAGGAAAACTGCTTTAAGAGCTCATGTGCATGACATCAGTTTAAGCTTAGAGAGGATCTCTTTAAATATTTAATAATTCCTTGGAGAGTTGACATTTAACCGGCTTGCATCGCTTCACTGTAGGATTTAGCCGCAACCGTTGACTGAAGTTCACCCAAATCGCTTTTGAAAATGAAGCGTCGTCTCATCTGCATGAAGGGAGTTTGGAGTCATAAGGTGAGTTAATGGGGACTGCTTGGTGTGTCTCGTTTCAGCGTTAGGAGCAGCATATGGAACCGCGAAGAGCGGCACAGGCATCGCCGCCATGTCTGTGATGCGGCCAGAGCTCATCATGAAGTCCATCATCCCCGTCGTCATGGCGGGTATCATCGCCATCTACGGGCTGGTGGTCGCCGTGCTGATAGCCAATAACATCTCGGAGAGAGTCAGTCTCTACAAGTAAGGAAGACGTCTGGTGTCCTCATGGTTCTGGTTTATAAATGATCAGCTCATTGACCAGCGTTGGTGCCTTCCTGCTTTGGGATTGTAGAAAACGTAGTCCCTAGATAATCAACAATCTATCCAGCTTCTGCTAACAACGTTACCACCTTTTCTCCTCACTCTTCCATCCTTGTCCTACCTCCATTTATGTCCTTTTCTATCTCCTATCTTTTTCCATCCTGCTGTTGTTGTTTTTCATTCTTCTTTTCCATTGTTTCCCTTATATCTTCAGTTCTTTCTTCTTTTTCCTTCACTTCTATTTGTCCTTCCTTCCATTCAACCTTCTTTTCTCCCTTCCCTTTGTGTTTTTCTCCTCTTGTGTCTTCCCTAACCCCATTCCATCCTTCCCCTCCTGTCTTCTTTTCTGTTCCTTGTGTCCTGCTGTCTCCCCTTAGACCTGTGTAAGGGTTTAATTATTCCCTCTTTAATAATTAAAGCTGGAAAAAGATGCTGTTCATATGTCTTAATCGGTTAATGTTGTGTCAAATAAATGTGAAGAGCTGAACCCAAAACAAACTGAGTCTGAAAAAGTACAGATTGAAAAAGAGGAACACTTGAGAATGTTTAAAATAATTTTTGTGCAAGTTGACAGAAGGAATGGCAACTTACTGCAATGTCTGCAGAACAAAGACCTCTCTCTCTCTCTCTTGCTGAAACAGCAAAGATTTGATGTTAGAGAGGTTGTTAGAAGTAATCAGTCCTACTGAGAGTCGAGGGATTGGTGTATTCTCAGCTTGAAGAACTGAGAACTGGTGAATGTAACCAGAATAAAATAGACTAGGTATTTTGTTTCCCAAATAGACTGTATTCTTTATCAAAACCTAATACTAATTTACATCCATTTAGACACTCCTTCTAAACAAGTTAAACAAAAACAAAAAACACCCAAGCAGGGAGTGATTCACTTGAGTCATAGGACTCTGAAATATTCAAAGATGATCTGATCTAATGTCAGTAGTCTAATAAATACAAAATCAATTAAACTTCTTCTTACAAGAGAAAAATTAGGGTTTACATTGGGGTCAGAGCTGCTAGGTCAGATTTGTACAGATTCCATTTCTTTATAATGATTGTAGCACAAGTAATTAATGGAAGTCACAGTTTTCAATCAAAATGAAGAAATTACAAGATAATCCACATTCATGCACGTCCCCAACCCTTATCTTGTTTTTATTATTATTGGAGAACGTGCATCAAAGTGCATGTTATTGGTTGTTGCATTTATAGTCTGAAAATGATTCAGATCAGATTTTCTAGTACTCAAACAGCTAATGACTGATTAGCTTTGATGAAGCAAAAGTAGATTCCCATCTCTGGCCGGTTCAGATATAAACTTAATTCACAGGTGTACAAACTAAGACTTTTTTCTTTCCTGCATCGTCTGTTTAGGAGTTTCCTGCACCTTGGCGCCGGACTGAGCGTGGGCCTGAGCGGCCTGGCGGCCGGGTTCGCCATCGGCATCGTGGGCGACGCCGGCGTGAGGGGCACCGCTCAGCAGCCCCGGCTTTTCGTGGGGATGATCCTGATCCTGATTTTCGCCGAGGTGCTGGGGCTCTACGGCCTGATCGTGGCCCTCATCTTATCCACAAAATAAGTGTCTCTCTTCCATCCAAACCACCATCTCATTCATTCCACATCGAAGCAGCGCGAACAAATAGGAGAGTTTCACCTTCTTCCATGACACCCCGCGGATCTGACAGGATGGGATGGCGGCAGAAACATGCTGGCTGTCGGTTTCGACAGCCTCGTCCTCTTTAGATGTGATCTACTCCATTTTGTTTTAAGCCATCCGGTTGTGTCAGGTCTTGTGCGTACAGAACGGGCATGAACATGTACTGTTTGTTGTGAGATGATGTGTGGACAGTCTGCCTGATTATATCGTCTAATCTTAAACTGTACAGTGATCCAGAGTCCTCCCATCCTCAGTAAATGTAGTAACCAGTCTGTGCTGTGAGTGTGAGTATCAACGTTTAGCCCCTCACCCCTCCAACCATTCCTCTTTTAATTTTTGTCTTTTGTTGGTGGATTTTAATCATCATTATACGTTTTGTTTTTCTTTGTTTTTTTGAGACTGCTGAAAAGTTGTACACACTAGTATTTTATTTTTTCATGTTCTTTTTCGGGGACCATCGTTGAATCTCAGATTATTTTTTTTGTCACTATTTATGGAAAGCTATGAAGATTTTGAAGCTGTCTAAATGGAAAACTGTTTATTGAAATACCCTATATATACATAAAATATATAAATTATCTGTGTATAGTTAGATTTATTGCACTGTGGGTAATTGTTCTAAGTGCTTGGAATTCCTCTGGATATAGTGTGATTATTATTGGAGGACGTCCACATGTTCACATGAAGATGACTGTGTGTGTGTGTGTGTGTGTGTGTGTGTGTGTGTGTGTGTGTGTGTGTGTGTGTGTGTGTGTGTGTGTGTGTGTGTGTGTGTGTGTGTGTGTGTGTGTGTGTGTGTGTGTGTGTGTGTGTGTGTGTGTGTGTGTGTGTGTGTGTGTGTGAGAGAGAGAGAGAGAGATCTGAGTGCATAATGTGGTTTTACGTTTGATATGACATTCTCAGACACTAGTATTGTTTACCTGTAGTGCTGCTGTCTTGATTTTGTTCTTTTTTTATTTTTGTTTTTTTTTTGTCCAAAGTGAGAGCTCACTGTTCAGCCATGCCTGTCAGATTTCCAAATAAAACTCAACCTCCTCCATTCATTGTCAAAACGGCTTATGTTGTGTTCATGAAAACTTCAATATGAACCTTGTCAATTGAAATCTGAACAAAGTGTGTATTTACTCTTTACTCATGGCTGTAGTTGAAAAACTAATCTTGATTAATCTCCAATTAACATCTCTTGTTTTACAGCTGTGCAGCGTGGAAATATCACAGTGTTCGATTAAAATGCAAAACTCGGTACAAAATCACAGCTGTTGAGGATTTTGATCTTTTGCTGGATTTGCTTAATTGATCACTACAGGGCTTCGGTCAGAAAGCACACTGGTCATCAGATGCTTTAAAGGGCTTTACTGAAAAACTGTCGATGCTGTATATATGGTAAAGCAGTTTTTGAAAATACAGAAATGATAAAAGTTTCAAATTGCTATTGTATAAATGTGACTATAACAATTAACACAAGTGAGTAAAAAGACCCAAATATCAGCATTTATTCCCTCTGTTATAAGTGCTGTTTAAATTTAAATGATTTAAACAGCACTTTAAATCATTGTGTCCAAACTACATGGACACGTTTAGTAGTTTGGACACAAACTAAATGGTCAAAGCTCCAGACTAGCACTTAAATGCTACAGTTTTAATAAAAATACACATTAAGAGTAAAAAAGAGACAAGAAGGAAATAAACGGCACAGACATGAGTCATTGAACAATCCGCTGCTGCAATTTTATTTTGGAGGAGCTTCAGTCACTCCAGGATTGTCAAAAAAAAAACAAAACAGTTTTTAGACTTGATCATAGTCGGAACAATGATTAAAAAGCCAAAACACATCTAAAACTATGGCAAATGAGGCAGGAGGATAATTCAAAGTTGTTTCCGTACGGCCGGCAGGATGGTGAGAGGAGAAGACAAGTCGCTATTAAAAACAATGAAATAATACAAATAAACCGAGGCGATATATCGTGGGAACAACTTCATGACTCGTGGAATTTCTCCCGGGCCAATCAGTGCACAGAAGAACAAGGTATGAACGATGACGTCGATTTTCTGCGCCTTTTTAGCATTGAAGGACGTTTAAGCGGGAGAATTGGGCGAAGAATCCAGTCCGTGTTTTCAATGCTTCCAAACTTGAACACAAACAGCCAACTCGCTCAGCTCGGCGCTTTCCTCTTGGCAGTGGAGGATGCTTGTTGATCAGACTTCCGGTAAGCTTCATAGGCGCATTTACACGTGCAGTAGCCAAAGTTACTGGAAAAAATTTTAGACTTTCACAAAGTTTACACACCCAGAAAATAAAACAACTTATATTTGCTGAGATTACTTTATTAATTAGTGAGAAGAGCAGAGAAAACGTCACTTAGATGATGGTGAGTTTATTTACAAACCTGAAATTACCAACAGGTTAAGACAGGCTTTTTTTTTAACTACAGGAAAAACTTGACAAAAGTAAATAGTGGAGTAAAAACAGTTGAAAATAAACAACTCAGGAAAGTGTTAGGGTTTACATTCCACACCGCTATGGTTTGAGACCTAAACCTGACCAAAGAGCAGAAAACAGGGAAACAATAATAATAATTAGCAAAGATGTTTTTATGCAAAAAAAAAAAAACATCTTTGCATAAACGGAACTGTACAAAAGGCTTAATGTTAAATACATTGGCATAGAAAGTCACATTTTCAAAAAGTTCCGGTACATAAATAATGTGCGTAAATGTGTTCACCGTAGACACTAAAGGAGCTAAAAACTACAGCTGGATTTATAAATGCTGCCACGATACAAGAAGGTTAAGCCTTAAGCGGTGCTAATTACATGTTTGGTTCAAGAAAGACAAAAACATAATTTTGTTAGTAGAGGATAAAAAGAGGCAGAGTGCACTCATGATGTTTCCACTTCTAGAATTAAAAATGATCAAATTTTACCGAATAATATTCACTGCTTTTCACTTTGACAACAGAATGAAGTGGGTAGATTGCTTGTGTAATGCACCAGGAACATTTAGATTAAGAACACCACACAAAAAATGTTTAAAAAAAATTTGCTTCTTGTTTTTCAAATAACCAAGATGACCACCAAAATTTGGCCTTACTTGATGTCAGTGTTGCAGTGTACATTACACATCCCAGCAGTTCACTGATTCCCATATAAGAATGGCAACAACGGAGTTAGATTATACAGTATGGTCATATATTTCTACAGATGTTGGGATGCTGACACGTATAGCATGAGGAAAAAGTCACAGTAAAGATGCACGGCTCCCTCCGCTCCGCTCCGCCAGTCCCGGAGGTTTTCCTCCCTGCTATAGTTTGCCGCTGCGAGCGCTTTTGAAGCGGAGCTGGGACCTGAGCTTTTCAGTCATGTCCAGCGGCATCTCTTCCTCTGGCAGGCCTCCGGGTCGGACGAGCAGCCCTCCGAGTCACTCTCGGAGAACGACGGTCCGGCCGGCGGGGTTGCGGGTAAGTGCGGGGACCGCTCGGGCCCTTCTGTGCTCTCCTCCGTGGCCCCGCTGTTCAGACTGAGCACCCAGCCCAGCTTGTTGTGGAGGACCTGGCGCAGGCCTGGCGGCAGAGGCAACACATCCAGCGTGTCCATGTAGTCCGGGAGCAGGCGGCGGAGGCGGGCGCAGCAGAGGTACAGCAGAGAGGTCGGCGTGGAGCAAGACCTGATGACTTTCATGCTGCTCTTGGCCGCGGTGGAGCACGCCATCGGATAAAACCTCTTGTTGTGCAGCTCTGTGGCAGCAACACCTGAAGTGGAAAAACGGTAAATGACTGGATTTTATTTTGGGGTATGAAAGTAAAGAATAAGGCGGGCGACAGGTGCAAATGCATAGCAAACAGAGAAATGTGCTCCAAATTCATGGATGATGCAAACTCCAAAAAACAAACACAAACGCAACAGAAAAACACTGCAAAAACTGCAGCAACAACAAGCAAAATGCCGCCATCATAGGAAGTAAAATAAAAAGAGAAAATGCCACAAATAGTCAAAAGAACTGCAAACAGAAGTGCTCCAGGCCACTAGGCGGAGTCTGGAGTAGATATTACCTTTTTTTCCTGATGTTTCTAATGTTGTAAAAGTTGGCATGTTTCAAAAAGACATGAAGTATAACTCTAATTTTTCTTCGCCTGTCTTCCAGACATCCGTTTTTTTTTTTGTTTTTTTTTTACCATATAGATCTACATATTTCTATGATTTACTGAGAGTCTGGTTCCATAAGACTTGTTGGCTGACATCCCCTAGTGTTGTGGAGAACTTTCATTTTGTTGAGCGAGTTTGCAGTATTTCATTCCTGCTGTTTCTACTAATTGCTCTATTTCCTGTGTTTGCAACATTTTTTATTTGCTGTGCGTTTACACCTTTTCGTCACTATAGGAGAGGTTGAGGAAAAGTTTTTTGTTGTTTTTTTTAAACCCAGTAACAGAGCTTCAGTGTCTGCATCAAGCATTACTTTATGTTGGTCTATTCCATAACATTCTAATAAAATACATTCAGGTTTGTTGTAATGTGGTAAAACGTGGAATAGTTCTAGCAACATGAACTTTACTGACCTATGCACTTCCGATTCTTGAAGAAAGTGAGAGTGCCGTGCCACGTGTCCAGATGAACTCCAATGATGGATCCTTGTCCAAAACGGGAGGAGAACTTCAATTTGTCTCCTTTGTGGTGCAGCAATCCTGGAAGACATGATTCATCGCACTTTCCTTTCAATGTTTCCATCAGACACATGTTCCCTGATAACACTGCTGAGCTTACCAGTGTAGGAGAGCCCCCAGCTGTCTGCATCTTTCCCCAACAAGCTGCAGAACGTGTGCCTGTACTTGTCCAAATTGACATCAGATGTTCCAATGCCAACCATCTGTCCAGAAATAACAATTTCAGCACAAATCAGCTTTTATACAACTTTTTTTTTTCTCTCTCGTGACTATTGACAAATCCTGGAGGCTTACCATGTCTGTCCCGTACACCGGAGATGTCATCTTGATTTCCCAGAAGTGCTGCCCGTCCGCCAGCTCCCTGGAGCCGCGGATGGCCGCCGTGCCGCAGCTGTAGTCAGAGTGGAAGCTCACTTTACGATTGTCGCAGGTCAGCAATGTTGCAGTCGAACGGCTGCCTGCATCCCAAACCCAGTCGAAATCTGCGACACCAGAGGTCATGTTGACAGCAAATCAAATATTGGTGGCTGGACATACATGTCTTTGACTCAAATTTCTACATTTCTACAATGTTCTATACATCTAGCAAAGCCATTTCAAGATTTGTAACTACTGTTGCTCTCCCTTTGATGACACGGTTTGACTGAGACGTTACAGTTGTTGTTAAAACTGTGCCGCTGCTTTGTACCTTGGTCATCCTCTCCACAGTGGCAGTCTTTGACTTGGTGAAATCCTCGTAGGCGAGGATTGTAGCTGGTTTCTGCCTGGGAGTCGCAGGCACAGTAAGACTCTCCTGTAACGGGGACAGCACTGGGGACCGGAGGAACCATCATGGCTGAGTAGTCCGCCTCCGAGTCAGAATCACTGTACTTTACAGAGATTTTAAAGAACAACTCTTAATGTTCAATACATCAGGGGAATCAAAACACAAATTTGCGGTTTGTAATGCTCAGACATTTCCCTTTTCTGCGTCACACGAACCAAAACGATTTCCGGTTTTGGATGGTTTTACCTCCAGCCGGTCGTAGCGCCACTGCTCAGCTTCGGAGGCCAACACGAGGGCCCGGGCGTCGGCATCCCTTCGTATGCCACCCCAAACGTAACGCCAAGCCCGGCTGTTCCTGCTTCGCCTTGACATGGCAGCGGAGTCGAACAAGTAGAAGAGCTTTGTCACTCGATCACGGTCTAGTCCAGATGTTTAAGGAGCAGCATTAGTCCAGTAGCTGAAGGAAAGTAAACAACATGCGTTATATAAACTTCTTCCTCAAATTTTTACACTAACATGTCCGACTCTATTTGAGTAACGCTTCAGCATAGAGTGCAGCTTAAACTAAAGACGCATATATTAACTGATTATTTTACAGCATAGTTTTTAAGGACTAGCCTAGGCTTAAAGAGTCACATGACACAGTCAGCGACCAGTACAGTCTCTGTCTTTGCTTTCATTCACAGTACATGTAAAAAAAAACTCTTAGGGAACAACAATATTACTACTTGTCAACAAACCCTAACATTTGCTTGGTTAACCTGCAAAGTGTGTCAGTTTCAGACTAATTACATTAATGTTTTGTTTTTTTTCATTGACTTTATATTTTGTAAAGAAGATATATATTTAAACTAATTATAAAGATATATCAAGGTAATAGTTTACTGATACGAAGAATTTTTAGAAACATAACCGAGGCATGTTATGGACCTTCATATTCAAGCAGGCAAATATAAGATGTAAATAAAAAAAAACGCATTTTATTTTAAAAAATCCAACTAATTTCAAGAAACATAAAAAACTCTTTTTCATTAAACTTCTTACGAATAAAACTATAAACACACATCGTATTCTTAGACAATCCACAAAACAACAAACCCAGGGTAATTAAAGAGAAATGTTTATGCTTTTATTCTTTTTTCTCAATGAAATGCATTTTATTCCGCATTGCGTTGTACATCGTGTTTGTTTTCATGAAGACCTTTTCCTTCGCATTTCCAGCCAAATTATCTCATTTATTTATTTCTCATTCTTACATTAAAGTCGGGTGTTTTGGCCTGGATATTACCAAACTATCGAATCTGTGTAAAGCAGCAGAAATAAGCATCATCGCATTCACACAGCAAAACCACATATTATTTCACACAAATAAAAAAAAAGACCACCCGAAATAGCATGTGCTGTTTTCTTAGCCAGCTTCTTCGCCTTGAGCTAACAGAGCAGCTAATGCAAGCCAACTCCTCGGATTGAGCTTCGTCTTAAAACATATAATAAAAAAACAAATTACGTCGTGACTTCGAATTACTTGTTTGCTACCTTTTATGTGTGTCTAAATCACTAAATTGTTGCTTTGTCGCGACTTATTGCGCAAACAGAACGAAGGGTATTGCTACTGATGCGTAAAAAAGAGCTAGCATTGCGCGGCTAGCAGCTGCTAGCGCAACATCCACCCAGGATGGATAAAAAGTAGAGTCGTTACCTGTTAAACTGGCATCTGGCGACACATAAACCCGACTAATCCACGGGGGCCCGGGGCTCCTCTGACTCCGGGTATTACTGGACAGCTAACACACAAGAAGCGAAGAGGTGACTCGCCTCGTTTCGTTTTTCCATGACCTACTTTCTGCCAGTGTGACCGCGGTGTAAACAAATACAGGAGGAGCTAATTCACTGGGAGGTTTGAACCTGCATGCCAGCTAACTCACTTGTGGCTTTGAATTCGGACAGAACATCCGAATTCAAAGTAAATTGAATTAACAGCAAAAAAAAAATCAATTATTAATTCAATTGCTCCCATGTTTGCATTTTATGAAGCATATGTACTGCTAAAATAAATAAATAAATTTGCTAACTAATTTGGCCGCTTGGTAAAATATAAATAGAATCTGGCTGGAAACAAGGAGGCAACTTAAAGATCAAAAAAGAAAATAAGGCCTTGAGCCAAATAAAAAGCCATTTTCTAAATATGAAAAACAGGAAATAAAACCTCGTCAGCATTTTGTTATAGTGACTCATCCAAGAGGTCACAAAGCAAAATCTAATATTAGAGTGTAAAATAAATTGCAACAATATCAGAGTTCAAATATGGCAGTGTGGGGCTGCTTCAGGAATTCCACCTTGAGGCGAGGTGGCTTTATTTAGCACCATTCATACACAAGGCAGTCCAAAGTTTGAAATGTCAAAATTAAATGTCCAACCTAAGCAAAAAAGCATTGCATGAAAGAAAAAAAAAACATGCTTAAATGCATTTAATAAAGGCAAAAAAAAGACAAACATGTTTCAAACATTTTATTGACCAGACTGTTTGATCAAAAGCAGCAGTAAACATATATTTTCAGGCCTTGAGGGGTCAGAAGGTTCCAGGTTTGAATCCTGTGCAATCTAAAATTGCAGCATTAATAGGGTAAACGGTTATCAACCCATTTTCTACTTTATTTGCGGAGTTTAAAATTTGTCAAATGAACTGAAACTGAATGGCTTCATGCAGAAATGGATGTCGGCAGGTGACATTATACCAGGTTGTTATAATGAGAAAGTTGCTTAAATTGAAAAGGGTTTTAGCCAACACTGTTATTTTGATTGAAGAGATTCAGCAAATGTTCTGTTTCTTTCTTTTTCCATAATCTGTCCTGGAAGTGCATAAAATATATTTTTCTAATTATTATTTCAGGTAATGAAGTCCAGTTAACTTAGCTTACTCTTTTCGTTAAAGGGAACAAATTATACAAACAACAACAAAAAAACACTCATTGGGATAAATTCGGAAGACATTTATACTTCTCAACTACAAAGCTTTCTTTTTGAATAATTTAGAGTACTTATGTTATCCGTTGTCTACTTTATGTAAAAGTATAACCTATGCAATCAAATTTACACATAAATAGTAATAAGACTTGTTAGTATTTGTACGGGTACTAGTTAGTATGTGGAAACAGAATTTCTCTGCTGCGGAACCAAAGTGCAATCGCAGTTCTTTCAGGGTCTTATTTATTAACGGACCGTGTGTGCGGAAAATGCGTGCTTTGCACACTGAGGTCAACTAGGAGTTAATTGGACATTTTCAGGCATTGAAACAAATATATTGTATAATTAGTAGATAATCTGGGTTTTCATACCAGGTGGTTACCGTTTATTGACTCTTATTATTAGTAATTTTAATGTGTTTGTAGCACAGAGATCTGCTCCGCTTACACAATTTCCGCCCCAACCAGGTAACTACGTAACCACAGTTTTCGTCCTCAGGGTTTTGTCCACTTGCAGTCATGGCGAAAAAGAAGCGACTCCGTCTCATCGCAGAAATGGCTCGGAAGATCCGGGCGTACCGAGAGCTGAAGTCTCGGCCGAAGGAGTCCCAGAAGTACGCCCTGGACTACCAGAGCATGAGGCGGCCTCTCACTGGGAAGATGCTGCCCGTGTTGGCCTGGCAAGACATCCGCAGGGAGAGCCGCCTCTTCTCCCTGCTGGCGGGGATGAGGCTGTTCGGAGTCGGCCGCATGTTCACCCGTAAGTCCTGGTTGGAGGATCACCCAGAGCCCAGCTACTGGCAGATTACCAAGGTCAAAGTGGACTACACAGCTGAGGTGAGCTGGAGGACAGCGCTGGACACTCTCCACCTGTGAAGCTGTCTTGCTTTTATTTGTTTATACATGATTCATTTCAGTTCTTCAGGCCTTTTCTCTCCTACCATCACAAACATAAAGGCTGAGTATTCTAATCTGACTTTTTACAGAAACCTCATGCTTTTCGTTAGTTGAAGCTAAAAAGGAGCTTTTCTGTAACAAATGCATACAATGTATATATACTTTAAAAGAAATGGTTAATATGCAATAGACATCCTATCTAAATGTGAAGACTCAAAGGAGGAAGTATGCATATGAATAAAATACTAGTGCAGCTTCCAGTCAGTCATTTTCAGCTTTGATTTAGAACAAACAGGACATATACTGTTGTAAGACATTACACTTCGCGTTTTATTGTCCAGAAGCTTCAGCCCAGTTGATTTCGATAGCCACGTGAGATTGTTTTTCTCTAATAAAAAAAAAAGTTTTCTAGTGCTGGGGGTATAGTAGACTAATTAATGGTTAATCATTATGAAACAATGCTAAAAATATCTCCATAAAAGTGATGAAATGTGTCTAAGCTAAGGCCAGTATTCCAATCCTTTGCATGAATGCTGTTGAGTGTTGAGTTTGCAGATCAATATGAAACAAAAATGTTTGTTTTGGGGAAAAAATCCAAACTTGTAAATGTCCTGGCAATAAAGCATCTGTTCTCTATACTTTTATAGAACATGGATCATGGCAAAGCATGGGGAATCCTCACATATAAAGGTAATCGTAGTCTCTATTGAGCTTTTTCTTTTTTATAAGGAGCCTGGATACAAATCTTTTTGCATCAAGATTCTGTTTCCTACTGTTCTTTAACAAATATCTGAGACCTTCACATTCTTTACACTAGAAACAAACCACATGCCAGTCAGGCACTGTCATGTTTGCAGAAAAGTCATTGTTCTGGATTGTATTTAGGGGTATCATAATAGGATGCTAAGATGTCTTTGTAAAAAAAAAAAAAACTTAAAACCTAGAATGTAGTGTTGTTGCACCATGGGGAAAAAACTGTTTGTGGCTGTAAAGTGACAAAACCAATAAAAATATTTAAAATGAGTAGAAATTATTCAAATGTCTTCTTGTTGTGCTAAAGATGCACAAAGTACATATTAAAAATCATAACTACTCTATACAAAATGTTACTTGTTAGGCAAACAGGAAAAAGAGGTGAAGGAGGTGGAGAAGGTGATGTACCACGACTGGCGCCTGATTCCCAAAGACATGGAGCAGCAGTTCAAGGACTTCCAGCCCCTCCCGGAGCCTCCAGTGCGCTACGTCCCTTACCCTCCCCTGCTCCGCGCCATGATACTGGCACAGCGTGGGAGAGCTGCAGGCAGGACGGTGACAGAGGAGCCGGCCTTGCCCTTACAGAGGAATGTGGTGTTCAACAAAGACTATTTCCGCAGACAGGAAGAAGAGAATCGGAAGAAAGAGGGGACAGCGGTGTAAACCAGAGCGGCGTTTTCAAGGATTCGTTTGAGCCGCTGTTGAGTACTGGACTCAAATAAGGTTTCTTTATAATCTCATAGAGAACTGTGTATGTTTGTATGTGCTAAATATTAAAAGCGGGATCGAACCGGCTCCTTCAATGGTTTGTTTTCTTCATTAAAGTCATTTGCTGCTGTTTATATTGTTCCCCTGCAGCAAGAAGGTTCCAGGTTTGAATCCTGTGCAAAATGTAAGAAGACTGTGGCTGTCAGTTGCAGTACATTGCACAAAGATAACTTTTAAAAAAAAAGTCCAGCTGTGTGCATTTCAGATAAAAGCAGTTCTACAGAACAGAACAGTTTGACCAGAACATGATTTAAATCTAATCACTACACCATTCATTTATGCTTTTAATACAGCAAATGTACAAAATCCTATTTGTTTTAAACTTCAAGTATAAACAACAAAAAAAAGATCAATAAAAATAGACAATATACAGGATGAATTAAAAATTATGCTGATAAATATTAAAAATCTTTTTTTTACATGTCCTTTTGACTCATGTTTTGAGAAACATTGGAGTGATGATTTCAACAAAATACGTTTTCTGTTAAGTGCTGTGGCTAGATGGGCGCTGAGCTCTGTAAAAATGAAATAAAAATTTGAAAGAAGTAGACCTTCAGTGGCATCTGGAGTTCTTTTCTATAGGGATTTATGTACAGTCTATGAACTATACAGATACACACAAACACTGGTTAAACACTTCTCTTATTCTAATCTAATACAAGATCTGTTCTGAACATGCACCTTCACATCTTCTAACTCAGAAGCTTCTACTGTCAGCCAGTTGTGGAGGCAGCAGAGGGAAGTTTTAAGTTCAAGTAATTTAGTTTTATATTGAAGATATTTAATATTTATGAATGATTGTCATGACTGCCGCATGTTTTGATTGAAAGGCGCGATTGAATTTTTTTAATCAACTAACAAATTAGGAGCCTCTATTATTGTGGTTTGGCAAGCGAGGGATCTGCAGAAAACTAGAAATGGTTCTAAATTGTAGAAGAAATCTCAAATTGACGGATCTTTGCATTGCAGAAAGCTTAGTGTACCTATTAAATATTTATGGGCTTGCCATACAGGCTCGCGCTTTGGAGCATTCCTTGGCAACGTGACGTCGCTCTCCACCCTCCTTCCTGCATTCTCCCAGACCTCAGTGCGCTCCGTCCTGCACCGACAATGATCTGCCTGTTTCTGTCCTTTTTTGCCCACGTCTTCCAGTCAGGTTGGTGTTGCCTGTGTTTCAGTCGCTGGCTGGTGGTTCTCCGAGCCTCGCTCTTGAGTTTCACCGGGTGATATTTTCCAGTTTCCAGGAGATGCTGGCGGGTCAGAGTCGCCTCCTCGGCTAGCCGAAGGCAGCACTTATACCGGGTCCAGTGGAGTTAAGAAGCTTTCTAACTTTAACTGGAGCGCTGCATTAGTTCAGACTAAACCAACCCGAACTAATGAATTATTACTAACTAACTAAAGTGTTCTCTCAGCGCGCAGCGTGGCTCATGCGCTCCGCTCCTCATTGTCTGAAAAGTTGATTCATCATCCTATTATTAGCTCAGGGGTTCGCGCGCTGCTTATTGGGAAGATTTGTGCTCGTGCGCAGACTGTGGGATCTGATAGGCTGCTGCAGACAGAGTCCCCACAATGAGGCCGACAAAGAGGTCACAGCGAGATCTGCAGGAACTGGAAGATCTGGTGCCCAAACAGGCGCGGGTTGATGAAACCGGTGAGGTTCCAAACGTCTGGTTTGGACTGCGGGGACTGCGGGGATTGCGGGGTTGTGGCTTAAAATGATGTCGAAGTGCTGATCTTTGGGCACCTGCTGCAGGTACTTTGTTTTAAGTCCGGCTGCCACCACAGAGATGCTGTTGCGTATAAAAATACTGGAATACAAACAGTTTGCATAAAGCTAATCGAGATGTAAGTTGAATTTCAAATTGTGGATGTCAGCATTTTTATAGGTGTCCACTAGGGGGCGATGCTCATCAATGGAAGATAATACCAAAGCAGGATCTGTCAGTGCCGACCCCAAATCTGATTGTTTTTTTTTTTGTTAGATGCTTGGTTTATTTATTTGTTTGACTAAAAATTATTGATATGCATGCAACCAGTTGCCTTCAGATATTCTAGAACCACTTTATATAGTCATATTTTATAGTTTCACCTTTGTATAATAGGTCATTAACACCATATTCAGCGAAGGGGTTTTTTATATAGAGAATCATTAAGCAAAGAGCAAAATTAAAATCAAGTAACAGACAATGACTGTTTACTGATACAGATTTACTTGATAATCCAATTCAGGGTTTCCCACAATGTACAATATTATAAGCCTGGTGGGCCACCAGACTTTACTTGTGCCCCCCCACCAGGCTTTGCAATGTTGATTTATTTTAGTTTTTTGTTTTTTTAATGATTGCTAATTTGAGGACTTTATAATTGATGTTTTGGTATTAACTTATCTTCCAGTCTTCCAATAATGTATAGTTATCAAGTCAAATTTTCTGTCAATTTTTAAACATTATTTAACTTAAAAACATGGCAGGTGGCTGGATGACTGCCCTAGTGCTCGGAGCACCGAGCTTAGCAGGTTTCCTGGGGGAAACCCTGCAACTGTATTTCCATCTTGAGAAACAATAAAGTTTTCTATTCTATTGACATCTTTTATATGTTTGCCAGAAATTCAGCGTCAAGTTTGGGAGGCTAGTTTGAGTTTGATACGTTTGGTTTCCTGTGTTGTTGGCTTCAAGCGCATGCTGTGCTCAAGTTAAACAGTTCCCCTCGTGCCGTTTCAGGCTGGACGGGGGTGAACGAACGCACCTTCATCGCCGTGAAGCCGGACGGTGTGCAGCGGAAACTGGTGGGAGAAATAGTGCGTCGCTTTGAGAAGAGAGGCTTCAAACTTGTTGCTCTTAAGCTTATAAAGGTATGCACTTGTGGTTCGAATGCTGCGGAGGGTTAGCGCAGTGGATCAGAGATGCAGTCTGGTAAATGAATGTGTTTATCTTGGTTGCATGTGCACACCAGGCGTCTGAGGAGCTGCTGAGCGAACACTACTGGGAGCTGAGGAACAAGCCTTTCTACAGCACCCTAATAAGCTACATGAGTTCTGGACCGGTTGTTGCAATGGTGGGTTTCCTCAACAGGCTTCTCAGCAACGTTCTGACGTGTGGGGTTGTGTTCAAAAGCCTCCTGTTTTTTGTGTAGGTGTGGCAGGGTATGGATGTTGTGAAGACCGCTCGCAAGATGCTGGGCGAGACCAATCCCGCAGACTCACTGCCGGGAACCATCCGGGGAGATTTCTGTGTGGAAGTGGGCAAGTAAGTCATGTCATCACCTTACCGCGCATGTTACAGGTCTAATCTCAGTCTTTTGTCCGTGGAAACATGCAAACATGTTTTCTAGTTATACTGGGTAAGAATAAACTGCAGGGTAGGAACCATTGAATTAGAAATTCTTTAACGTCATCGTGAAGATATGTTGTTGGTTATAAAAAGATCGATTGTATGACTTTTTTTTACATTGTCGTGTTTTCAGAAAGTACTCGTTCGTTTTGCGTCGGGATGATAATCGGAGGAGCAACTTTCACTCTTTGTTTTCAGGAATGTGATCCACGGCAGCGACTCGGTGGAGAGCGCCCAGAAGGAAATCTGTCTCTGGTTCCGTCAGAACGAGCTCCACCGCTGGGAGAGCACCAACAACAACTGGATCTACTGACGTTTACAGACCTTCTGCAGCTTTAAAAGATCAAACCTCTGTTAACTTTTTCTTTTTAGCTTCAGTAGTTTGTAGCAAAGAAAGGTAATCTCTGCTTTCCTGCATCATTTTCTTGGTTTACATTTTTGATGGAGTAAACGTAAAGGGGCAGTATTATGTAAAATTGACTTTTTTGAGCTTTGCATCATGTTATGATGTTATGAAAACGTACCTGGTGTGTTGCTTTGATCCTGTCACACATACTTGAGAAATCCTTTAACCATTCAGCTGTGACGGGACTGAGCGCCAGCACTGATGACAAAGCTCCTCTTCGGAGCTGCAATTTCCAACTTTCAGAGCATTACAGAGCTTCTTGCTTAGCTCCTTCAGACTAGCCAGTAGCAATTAGCAGACACCTGGTGGAACTGCACACCTGCTGAGCTCAATATACCAGCAGCTTCTCTGTGCAACGCTGGTAAAGACGTTGTTAAGCATGGAGCACGGTTGTGACTTCTTGAAATGCGGAGTATCTTAAAGAGACAGAGACCCAATTTCAAAGCATTAAATTATAACGTCAAATTTATCTTAAGCCACATTTGATATATAGAATCTTTTATAACAACTGAAGGTAACATAGTTACTTGATTGTGCTAAAAGAAATGGCACATAACACTGCCTCTTTAGCAAAACAAAGTTGCACTAAATAGACTGAAATAGTTAGGATCAGTAATGTTTTTAGTTTTCAAGCTATACGGATAACTTGTCACAATAAGAAACTGCAATTATGAAGACAATGCATTTGAAATCATTACATGATTTAAAAACGGAGAATTGATATTTATTAAAACATAAAAATAGCCTCTTTTCATTTGTGTCACGTTTTCCAGGTCCTCTATGGGTGTAAAGATGATCATGTGGAAGTACTTGAATGTAAAGTTTAAAGCTTTTGAACAGCTATTGTTACTGCTTTTGTACTTTTATGCCAGGCTCAGTTTGTAGCCTGTCATAACACTGCAATAAAAATGGAGCAAGTTCATTTTTAACACTTGAATAATAAAAAAAAAAAAGACAAGTTGAATCTTTCTGAGACGTTTTTTGCTTTGTACTTGTTGCATTCTCCTTTGATGCAAACAAAACAAACCCAGAACACACTCAAGATGATTGCTTTCGGCACACAAATATGTTTTAATATTTAATCCACAGATAGAGATCAATGCACGAGTTTCCATACTGAACAAGGAGGATGGGCTTCAGTGCGTCTGGACATTTACAGTTATCCCTGTACATAAAATAACACCATGCCACTGTTTACTTGCTTCACACCAAAGCATCCGATCCAAAGCCAATCAAAGAGGGAAATCTTAGGAACCGAAGGTTTGAAATATTCAACTACCAGTCTGAGTGGATGTGGAAATGGTCTGACCTTTCACCTGTCTTGGACTGCCGCGGCCGCACCACATATTAATCTCACTGAGCTTGTCCGTGCCTTGAAAAATTACTAACTGTTCCGCATTTTGTCACGTTACATCCATAAACTTTAATGTGATTGAAATGAGAGGCATATACTTGTATTTAGCACCTTTTACTCTGATAATCTATGATAAAAATTCTAAAAAACACCACTTAATTAGTAAACAAAATTCACCTGTGTGTATTCAATTTTCTTTACAAAATTACAGCTGTTTTGTGGTGAACTAATGTTGCGTGTCACCCTGAAAGCACCGTACCCACAGTGAAAACGTGGGTACGCTTTTGTTAGCACAGACAGGGACAGACTAGCGCTGGACACAAGAAGGATGAGAGGATAAACGAGTTACTAATTATAAAATCCTAAATGTTTGCTGTGGATTTGCATTGACTCCCATTTTATTCTGAGACCTTTAATTTAATTTGTTGCTTTTATCATGTAAAATTTCAACAAATCACATTTATGGT